TCCACGTGTGTTTCACCTCCTGTTGCCTTCCATCTGACTTTTTCTGCCTCAGGTCTTTTTCTGAAGCCAAATTTCTCCCCTGTGCATACCTTTCTTTTCACAAATACGTGAGTCCTTAAAACACACAGAGAGCCTTTGTAAATTAGCACATGCAAACTGCACACTTCTTCTCAGCCTGACCCCTATATCTTTTTGTTACCTAGCGCCGCCCCCACATGGCTTATCCTGGATCCTGGGAGACACAAATTCCTCATCAACCCCAACTGACCATGACCGGCTAGCTCTGTTTAGAGTGCATACAGAACCAAAGGTGCATAGGTTGGTCTTACTCGCTGAAGTCCCACTGCTTTCAACACCTCTAAGAGCCCTGCTGGATGCAGCCGAGGGTCCCTTTCGGCCGACATTCTGTTCTCCAGCCTCGCTGCCCCCAGGATAGCATAAGCAGGACGTGAGTGCAAAAGCAGCCTTCTGTCCAACTGGTGTCGCTCAGAGTATGGCTATGTCGGGATCAATCCAGTGCAGATTGGAGTTCTGCACTGTTTCCCTTACTTGTGTTCATTGGGTTTTTGCTCCCCAGGCAACCCAGCCATTCAGTAGGTGGATACTTCCACCTCCCAGGCAAAGGGATCTTTCAGTCTTCTCTGAAAGATGCCAGTTTCAAGGATATCTCATTTCAATGAGCATTCAAATAAGCATACATGCAAATGCACCAGGAGGAATTTGAACGGTCTGCATTTCAGTGACCTTGATCTCTCAGAAGAATTGGGAGCTGAATGCTTCCTGCAGAAGACGGCATCTTAGACAGCCAGCAAGGCTCCTGTAGCCTGAGACAAGCTGCAGTTCAGCATGTACGTGCCCTCCAAATGTTCTCCACAGAAAAACTGGGTGGGCTCACACAGCACAATAAACTTATAAACGAAGATGGCTTGCCATGTTGTCTGAACCCATCCAGCATTTGGATCACACCTGGTAACCCAGCGGAGCCCTTTGGACGGCATTTCCAATGAGCTCTCTTGCAGGCACCAAATATTTTCAGCGCTTCCATCAGGAAGCTAGGCATTGATTGCAGGATGTAGAAATCAGCTGGAGAAGCTCATAAAATGCAAAAAGGGGATAAAGAGGGATGTTGATCTGTTGTTGTGGTTGTTGTTATGCTTCCTCTCACATTCAGCAACAGACCCCAGAACTTATTTTAATCCCTTAATGAGCAGCTGCACCACTTATCGTATTCTTCAGCACCACAGGACCTATTGGATAAAGCATCTGAGCAAAGCATTATTGTTTTGTGTCAGCACAGCAATTTTCAAACTTTCTGCCTTCGGGAAATATTGTTGCTTTTTCATTTCTATATTGCCCAATAGCCAAAGCTCTCGGTAGTCTGCAGTGATTCATACAACACATGCGGTATACATAAGAAAATACTGATGCAATGAAATACAATATAAAATTCTAAAGCAACATTTAAAACAGTTTTCAAAAATTCAGTAAAACCTAAACCTGCTAAAATGGCAAACTTTTCCCATCATATGCTGCTAAATGCCTGGGAGCAGAGGGCAGGCTTAACTTTGGGCTGGTGCTGAAAAGGTGGCAAAGTTGGTGCTGGGTGGAACTCCGTGAGTTCACCCAGAGGCTGGCGGCTCCCTTCTCCATTGCTCTCTTCCAGGCATGCCTTGGAGATGTCACTTTGAGGAAGGCTTCAGCTGAAGGGGGTAGTGGGACAGGTGTTCCCGCAGGTGTTGTTGTTCCAAGCTGTGCGGGGCTTTATAGGTGAACATCTGCTCCTCACCTTGAAGGGTAGTCAGTACAAAGGAGCCACAATTGCCCAGAATTCACAGGTTGCAAATGGACCATTTTTGCAAACTACAGATACACATTAAAATATGTATTTTGGAGAAAAGGATGTTATTAATGTACTACATTAAGAAAGTTAAATTAGGAAAAAGATCTGCATAGTAGACAAAAGCTCAGGCAAAAATGTATGTGTTAGGAGAAATGTATAAAACATGTATGAACTGTCATGTTAATTTTAAAAAAATCCCCAAATTTGGCACAAACTGAACTTAAGAGTAGATAAATTCTTAAAGTTTGAAGCTGATTGACTTAAAATTAGAAAAACAAGAAACCAAGACTGACAGATTCATCCATTGCTAGGAAGTTGACACATAAACCATGAGGTTTACCATGAGATACTCTGAAAGAACAAAATTGTACTCCTCCAGAGTTTCATCCTTCCATTTCCTTTGTCCTCTGCATTAATTCTCAGAAAACTGCCCATTAGAACCCAAGCAAAACTTTCTTGTTCATTTCAACAGTCTCATGTCTTGTGTAATTTTGTCTGGCAAGACTCAGAAGATGGCGAATGAGGTCGACATGAAAAATGGTCTGGTTGGTTTGACAGCTGAAGCAAACAGAAAGGCACCATATAATTTAGGCCATTTTAGTTTGTCAATACTATGTTGCCTGTTTGGCAAGTCAGGCCATGTGTTAGTGCTTTGTCAATATATTCCTATTATGCTTCTGACAGCGCAAGAACTATGGGGCCAAATCCACAATACAAAAATAAACTGAGCATCTCCATTGCGTTGTTGACGACGTGCTGCTATTTGCATGTGCTACTTGGAATGACAGCCATTATTAGATCCTATATATTGTGGAAAGCATGGGACACACTCCCTGTTAAGGAAAGGGAAAGAAAGGCAATGGTCCTCCTTCCCCTGGGTTCCATGGAGCCAGAGTTTAGCCCTGGACAAAGTGGCTGAGAGTATTCATGTGCATGTGCAGAGTGATTTCCCCTCACTTCTCAAGTGATCACAATGACTCTGCCTCCCCCCCCCCACACACACACACAAACACATCTGGAATGAAGGAACAGAGTTTCTGGTTAACCTACTGGATAGGCTGGAGACCAGTGCCATTCTCGGTTCAGCAGCGTTATTTGTGAATGCTGCTTTGTGGATGAGATTTACTCAAGTGGAGCTCCAACACAGACATGCACATGATAGGCATGTCATGAGCAAAGCTGGCTGGAGCCAGGGGTCAGACTAGATGGCCCAGGAGACCCCTTCTGACTCGCTCTGTTTCTATATTTCTAAACAAGTCCAATTTCTTTGGCCATAAAATAATACTGGATCTTCTTGGACAAAACAAATCACTGTTCATCACCCAAGTGTAGGGGTACAGTCAGTGAGTGTGCTAAATGTTTTTTATTTATTATTAAATTTATATTCCTCATTAGTGGCCCAAAGACTCTCTAAACAGATTACAATAATATATAAATATACCACAGCAGCCTTCCACAACCTGGTGGCGATGCCATAGTCTCACGTGACTCTGTCATCACTGTATTATCAAACAACCTCAACATAGGCTTTCTCCATTCCATGTTTGAGGAACAATATGAGCAACGTTGCATTTTCAATATGACTTGTGCATTTACGAACATTGGTGGACCCGAGTGTGCAATTTCTAGATATATATCTTTATAAGAGGTTGGCAAGTTATTATGGTCTGAAAAGATCCGGTGTCCCATGATGGTTCACTACTCGTCGAAACCACAAAGTATCCTGCAGCATTGCATATGAAAATGTTCAAGACCTTTCTCAGCCTCAGAACTGGAGAGCCTCAGCATCTCCTTACCACACAAAGCAGATTCGGGCTTTTCCAGATGTAATTTTGCCCGGCATTTGTTTATACAGGAAATGCCGGTTTTCCTCATCCTGTTTGTCTTATGGCCAGGCAACATTTCTAGTAAGCATACAGAAAGTGCATTGTCCTGCAAGGGCAGTTGAGAGGGCAGCCGGCGGATTTGGAGACTGGCACAACTCTGTTCTGCTGAGCTTAAACTTGATTACCCCGACTGATAAAGCAGACTTCTAGGAACTGCCGCTGCTGCCAGCAATTGGCAATTATAATTAAAATTGCCAAGCAAAGATAGAAGAGTACAGATCTTGGCAGCAAATGCAATAATTTCTCAGGTCTGGAGCCCAGCCTGCCAGTATAATGTCTGCTTGGCCACTGACATCTAGGCCCTCTTGTGACCACTGCTCAGCCAGAGCAACACATACCCCGAGAGAGCTTTCGCTTGCACAGCCTCTCTCTCCCTTTGCGGTCACTACCAAATTTGTTGCCAAAATTCAGCAATGCAGAAACAGAAAAAGGCAAAGATTGCTCTTTAAAATTTGGAGGGATTTCAATACATTGGGTCACTATTAAAGATGATGTGCAGATTTGGTGCTGTGATAGAAATGGAAGGGGCTGTGGCCCCAGTTCCCATTAGCCCAAGCCAGCATAGCCAATGATGAAGGCAGATGAGGAAGGGCACTGGTTCTCTGCCCCTCCTTTATGTGAGTAGCCGCTGTCTGTAGAAATCGGGAGAAGACAGACGCAGCACATTTCATCCTGGGCCAGGCAGTCAATGGGGTCTCTTGGGTAGGGTCATTGTCAGCCTAGTCAAGCCATCCACCCTACAAAGCTGAAACCTGGAATTGCACCAGGACAATGCACAGTTCACACAACCAAAGAAGCCTGCTTCGGTTTGCAACCTGCCACCGTGATCCTGCTGCTCTCCGCTCTGCCCTGACATTCACGTTGCCTTGTTACAGGCAGCATGCAGTGCTGCTTGTATACTAGCAGAACCTACCAGTAGTGTTTCCCAAAGCAGCTAGAAACAGAATACTGGCCCACCCCATTCCAAAAGTGTGCATTTCAGCTCATCTCTAGGATCACTTTAGAAAACGCTTGTTTCCTGCTGCACCAGCAGCAGGTCTTGCTGATGCCGTGCAACCCTTGGAGGGGCTGGAACAGTTTTTGACGCTGCCCCTCATGAAGAGTGAGATCTTTGTCTCTCCTCATTTCGGGCACTGCCCCCAGGAAGTGCGTCACTCTGGTGCGAGCGAGCCTTACGAATGATGGCCGCCACTCACACTGAACGACTCGAGGGGAAGGAATTCAGCGCATGCCCTTTGGAAGAACTGAGACCTTCTTTGCCATGTCTGTTTCAGGAGACACAAGATTTACAGGGAGGAGCGCAATCTGACTTTGGGCTCAGCGATGCAGCTCGAGCAGGAAGCAAGCTGGCTCCAGTTCCACCTGGGCATCGACCGCCACGCCTTGTACCCTCGATCCAGTCCTGCCATTGACCAGCTCCTCCTGGATACGCAAAATTTTGACACCATCAGTGCAGGTAAGTTGATTTCCTGAATAGGCTTTCCCAGGAGCCACGGCTGTTCTTGAACTGTAAACATAGAAGCAGGTCGCTGGGAGGCTGCAAGTGGGACTAGTGATTCACAGTCTATTCACTGCACCTTCAGAAGCCTCTCCCAGTCTATACAGACCTAAGAAGAGACCTGCTGGATGAGACGGCAGGTCCGCATAGCCCAGCATCCTGTGTCCGCAGCAGCTGCCCATGGAAAATGCATTAGCAGGACACGAGTGCAGCACCAGCCTCCCACCCAAGTTCCCAGCAGCTGCTGCACGTCGGCACGCTGCCAAGCCCTCTCTCATCCCCTGCTCTCTAGCACGGCCATTTACTCCTTTCCAAAAAGTAGGAATTGCATCCCGCAAGAAGAGGACAAGAGAAGATGCCAGTTTGTCTTACCTTTGGGTAAGCAAATGTGTGTGTGTAGGTTCAAATTTGGAAGGAACAACTCTAATTTAAATAGAAATGCGTATCCCTATAGTGGAAAAGAAAGACTCAGTGACCTGTGGACTTGCTTGCTCTGCTGTCCAAGGGGAAAGTGTTGTTGGGCCAGTTTGAGGCCACTGCCCTCCCTTCTTACGATTCTTCATCAGAAGGCTGTGCTTGAACTAGCCAGCCCTCCAACCAGAGAACTGTCATCTATAAAGCAGGACACTTGGCTTCCCTACTGCTCACTTTCAGTAAAAGGGGCTTAACATGCAAACAGAAAGTGTTAGGTGAAGGTTAAAGAGCCCTTCAGAGCTCCAACAGCTCTTTGCCTGTCCACATGAGAGTCTGTGGCAGCAATTGCATTATTACAAAAATGTCAACACAAGTCGAATGTGGAAAACAAAGCATGGGCGGGTAACACAGAGAGCACTGGAATGACTACAGGGTCGTCTGGTGTGACACCTGAGAAAAGGGCTATGGGGGAAGCAGCCTTAAAAGGGGACCCATTGACTTCTCAGTCACTCAGGCATTTACTGGAACATCGGTTGGTGTTCTGTTGGCTTTGTTAACAGAGACATGTACTTCCAGCTGTTCCTGCTGCGGCAGCCCGGGCATTACCCAGGATCGACTTCCCAGCTGCATGTTCTCTCCTGATGGTCTTTACATGGGCAGGCCTGCCCAGGCCAGTGGCAGGCACAAGCCCAAACATGAAACGCACGTGCAAAAATCCTTCAGCCATCCTGTCCTTACCATCTGTTCTGCCCATGGAGTTTGCTAAGAACACAGTTTATAATTTGCACACCACTTGCAAGCAAATCGTGTAACAGGAATATGACATTTTTGATGGGGATGTGGCTGCTGCTGCTTCCCTATCTTGTGATGCAGGAGTAGCTGCTGTGGGAGATTTGTAAAGGACACCACAAATGCAACAGCGTGGGCACAGCATCCTTTACAAGGGAAAGCTTCCAGATAGGCCATCATGGTTCCATAACCCAGCCTTTATTGCACAGAACACATGAAAGACCAGGAGGATAAATTTGAGTGCAGCATGTCCAGTTAATGAAATCCAGCATGCACATCCAGCCTCAGTAATAGCCCAGGCGCTGCAATGCGGAGCTGCTCACCTGATTTCATCCCCTTTTGCCTTATTCCCTTCTCAGAAGACTGGCAAGTCCCAGCCACAATGCGGTGGAAGGCCAGTGCTGCTACTACACTTGGAAAACAACCCAAGAGTGCGTGCACAAAGTTACTAGTTGAATCTCACGTTAAGATGGGTCTCCCCAGTGTGCTTGGACTGCAGCTCCCATCATGCCTCAGTACTGGCTGTGCAGGCTAGGGCTGACAGGAGCTGCAGTGCAACATCTGGAGGATCACCTGTCCCCCATCCCCCAACAAGAAGGGGATCTTGACTCTCAGAGAGGCAGAGAGGAAGAGCTGCTTCCAGGCACAACTGGCAGCCCTGAGCTAAACAGGCCAATGGGCAGCTTGCCATGTTCATGTTCCCTGGGAATGAGGACCATGAGTAGAGGAATGCCATGAAGAGCTGCAGTTGGCGGGGGAGGGAGAAAGGAATGCAATGGCTCCACCTGACTCTCCCCACCTCTGATCATTTTCCAGGAGTCCTGATTGCTTTGGGCAGTTTCCTGCAGTTGCGCTCAGTTATGGTTATAAACACTTCAGTGGGTCAAAGGCAAAGGCACGAATCCCTTTGCTTTCGTTAAAAACGTTCCCACTGCCACCAAGTCCCATTTGATAATAGTGGCGAGCACATAGGCATACGAGAGGGCAAAAAAGGACGCCTGTTTGCAGCACACTTGCATGTGTTGGTTTAATTATATGGGTTTGAATTTTAAAATGCTGATTATGCTTGAAAGAGACGTGCGGCCCATCCCAGTAGAGTGTGGAGGCCCATGGCCAGCACGCAACTGGTATGTGTGCTCTGCTCAGCATCATGCCACCCACATGTTGATGGGATACAGTTCTGGCGGTTTTTTCTCTTTATAGTGGAACGGTTCTCTGTTTAGGGGCATCCTGCATGTGATGGGCTTCCATTCAACCTGAGGATGCTTTCAAATAGAAAGCAGTCCCCAGGCATCCCTTCTGGCCACTCCAAGATGCAAGGAGACGCTTCTGGCACATTTGCCAAAAGGGATTTTTAGCTCACACATACACAAACTCCCCTGCCATACCTTAAGATTATCAGAAAGTGCTTTTGAGTTACAAAACGTTTTGATCACATAACAAAGCAGACTCCTCCTCCTAAAATTCACTGCAGGGGGTGTTTTGCTTTTGGGTGCAGTTTAATCTTCAGTATATCCAAGACCTCTGAAATTTGATGGAAATTGTGATTTACAATGATTTTCTCTCACTGAAATCTCTTAGCCAAAATCTCCAGGGGCTCCCTTGGCATGAATAAAGGAGAGCTGCTGTTCTCTGATCCTCCATTTTTTCCTCAGATTATCCTGATAGTCCCTGTTCACTCTGTGAGGGTCTGAAAAGCATCGTGCCTCTTACCAGGCCAGTCACATGAATGGTACCGTGTACTACATGCACTAGACAATAGCCCTCCTCGGTGCAATGAATCTCATTGCTTTTCTTTTTCATTCCAGATTACAGCCAGGACGAGAAAGCATTGTTAGGAACCTGTGACTGCACACAGAGTAGGTGAAATGTATTTTATTTCGATTATCTTTCTTGATCGATGTGTCACGTCAGGACTTGTATTGAGAAGAATGAAGACCTTTTAACGACAGGGTCAGCTGTTACCATCACCATTATTATTGTTCCTGGGGCATATTCTAGTTTGCATTTCATGTGAGGCTAAACATTTAAGCACCACTGTACTTCTGTGATGGTGCCTTTTTCCTATCTTGTTTCACGGACATTCAAGTTTTTATTTTTGCATTTCTTTAATCCCTGTATGTACAAGTCTTTCTTGAGTTGGATCCAGAGTGCTCACTCCATGAATCACATTCCATGTGAATGGCCTTTCACAGAAGGGTCCAATGGCGGATTCCTGCAATCTTTGCCAGTGCCCCACTTGAGTCTGCCTGGTCCTGTACTCTAATCGGTACTCTATACTTCCTCTCATTCTCCTAGGGCTTTTCTTGCTTTTTGGCCAGATGTCAAAAAATAATGGATGCCTGCCTCTCCTTGCCCCTGCGCCTTTTTAGTGTATGTATGTATGCTAGTGTGGCTCGGTGGTGAGAGGGTTGGACTAGAGACCCAGGACATCCAGGTTCAAGTCCTCACTTGGCTATAAAGCTCATTGGGTGCCTGTGGGCCAGTCACAGACTCTGAGCCTGACCTTCATCACAGGGCTGTTGTGAGGATAAAATGGAGCTATATAAGCTGGCTCTCATATGGTTCCTCACAAGAGGGGGGAAAAGCCGGATAAAAAGCAGTATAATAAATATAATGACATTCTTTCCTAAACCAACCAAAGAGACAATGTGTGTGCTGTGATCTGTTCCTGATGGCTAAGTTTTAAAAAAATGCTATTCCCCACCTGTTCCATCCGAGACTTTCTCTGGTGTTTGCCCACAGGCCCACAAGGGCATAGAAATGCTAGATTTGGCAACCCCTAAAGAAGTTCAGCCATGTGCTATTGGAAATCTGCAATGCCTTCCAATAGGCCATGATGGCACTGTGCTGGGAATAGTCCTGGGGTTAGAATATCTCCTCCAGAAAAATGGAATGAGTGACAGGAGGGCTGCAGAAAGTTCAGAGCAATCATGGAAAAGAGACAGGTTGGGTAGAAATATCTAAAATAAGAAACATGAAAACCTACCCATACAGAACATTGCTTGCTTTCAGTAATAGTGCAGGTGCTAGAGCTCATTTCCCAGCCTGGCTCCTTCTGGCTCTTTTCCCCTATGGCTCCCATCATCAATTGGTCATCCTGGCAGGGCTGATGGGACACACAAGGTATAACATTCTTCCCTAAACCAATCCTGGATCCAAAACTTACACAGTCAAGAGATTACATCTCCATGCCCATAAGTATCGAATACATTTACTGAAATGCTACCAACACAATTATACTACAATTATGCAGTTTAAAATTACATGAACAGTCCAATAATGACTCATACATACATCGTTAAAACTGGTTTCTATTTCAGGCTGTACACATTTAGAAAGCCCTTTCCCAGGGTGTTTCATACTTGAAGGTCCTCATCAGTGAGAAAACAATGTACATTAAACCAAATAATGGCCTGATTGCCACATAATTGGAAATATCCAGTGGTCATTAAACTACTTAGACTCTTAGCTTTTCAGCACATCTAAATATTACTGGATGAGGGAGCACTAACATTTCTTTCCATACCAGAAATGATAAACTTCTACCCACCTCAGGTAAGCAAACAGCTGCAGCTTTAAAATATGTAAATATAGATTAGATAGAGCTTAGTTATTTGGATCTGTATTAGCACTGCAGCCAGCTCCCCCAAAGAGCTTAGATGTTGTGGGAGGCCAAAGTGACCTCCCTAGCAGGAGGCCAACCTGACGGGCTCACAAGCTTAGGGTTCTATGCAATGCTAGTCCTGCCCGGGAGAGATCCATTGACTTGAATGGGACTTATGAACATAGGATGGAACCCATGGCAAATGCATTACTTCTAGCACAGTGTATATCCCTTCACGTGCTGTTACCAAGAGGGTGTGAGAAGCAAAACAGTTCTGCTGGTTTTCTTTCTTTGCTGAGGCAACTGTTATATTCCTTATCAGGTTATTACTAAACCAAATTTTTAGAACAAAAATAAAAACCCACATTTGTTCTCAATGTGACGAGGTAAGCCTTTCTTTCGTTTCTCAGTTGTTAAGCCCAGCGGAGTACATTTGAAACTGGTTCTACGGTTCCAAGACTTTGGAAAAGCCATGTTTAAACCTATGAGGTAAGCTTGCTCCTCCTGACTATATTTAAGCTACAGGGTCAAATGGTGCAAAGGCATTTTCTGGGATCTCAACTCTGAACAGTTAGTCAATAGATTCCCACAGCTGGCCGGCTCCTTGAAGCAGCCCAACTAAGAGTCAAGCTCAACAGTCACACAATTAACTATCATCTCACAGGTTGGCACTGTGGCACCTGCAGGCACTAATGCACACCCAGAAACCTCTTTTCGGTTTCTGGTGGAGGAACCGGTGGCGGTTTCTACCATACCCTACTGCTCCTTCTTCAAGAAAATAATAATTAACACAATTTCTTACTGGCAGCCAGGTGCACTGTGAAATAGGATTCTGTTGGTACTGGAAAAATGTGCTTGAAGGAGAAGTTGAGTGTCCTGGGGCTCAGGCCCTGCATCTCCTTGCACATGGAGTTTTATGCAGGGTCTTTGTTCTTTGTCATGCTTTTCATGGCAGCCGTTTTGTGGTGGTGCCTGGGACCATTTCTCAAATGAGCAAATGTGTCCATGAAGCAAAAAGTTTTCCTAATCCTGGATAAGGTTGTTGGCTTGTTTCAAGGTAAACAGATGGCATAGGAGTCATCCAAATCAGAACCCTGGTTGAAGCAGCTGTGAGGAGCTTAAACACTTTTCCTGTGCTGCAGGCCCAATCCAGGTCAGGTCCGATTATTTGTGTTGGCAAGAAAGGTACCACTGGTAGGAGCTTTTCTCCCTGTGCAAATAGCAGGTAGTGGCTGGGCAATGAAGTAAGCTCAATCGGGGGGGGGGGGGAGTTCACCTGGGCAGGCACCTTGTAGCCCTCCAGATGTTTTGGCTTATTATTCCCATCAGCCCTAGCCAGCATAGCCAAAGGTGAGGGCTGGTAGGTCAAAACAAGTTGCCCACCCCGGCTTAAACTTTGTTCCCATCTGCACCATTACCAGGGCCACATCCTGACTCCCTTCTCCCCACTGCTGCTGCATTTATTCTGAAAAAAAGAAGTTCATGCGCTTGGCAATGGCACAAATGGTGTCACGTCTAGTTTGGCCCTAAGTCAGAGCTGGAAGAGGCTATTTCAGAATTGCTAGCTCTGGCTACCACAACAAATGGGATCAGGTCAAAGGAAGGAAACAGGGTTCCATATGTACTGTCAGCTATGTTTCTCAAACTCAAGAATGATGTCAACTGTTACTGAGAATCTCTTTTCCATTTGTAACCCCTACCTTTTCTTCAGACAGAAACGAGATGAGGAGACGCCAGAAGATTTTTTCTATTTTGTTGACTTTCAAAGACACAATGCAGAAATAGCTGCCTTCCACCTGGACAGGTAATTCCAAGTGACATGACAATTTCCTCCCTGCTTTCTTTATGGTATTGCTAGAAATAAACTTTATTATATCTCCTGATGGACCGAAAAATTGCTGCAACGGCCAAAGTCCGAGGAATGATAGGGTTTCCACAGGGCAAGAGATTGCTTGGGATCCAGGATTCAGGAAGGTGTATCCAGATTTCGGCAGTACTGCAGGACCCCCATATTCACAGGGGAGAGGCTCCAAGCTCCCCAGCAGATGTCTGAAACTGCGGATCATAGCGATCATTACATTCATGGAAGTTAGGGGTGCAGGACCCCCACAAAAGTGGAAAAATCATGACTCTCTCTAGCGTCTTCATGCCCACAGGGAGACAAATCACATGAGTGAGGCTGGCGAGTACTGAGACAAAGAGCACGGTGTCCCCAAACAAAGAGTGTAGTTCCCCAGAGATAGTAGCAATTTTTCCCTAGAGATAGTCATGGCTTTTCTACTTTCGTGGGTGTCCTGTGCCTCAAGCCGCCATGAATGTGGAGGGCCAGTGGACAACCTTGTTTAAGTAAAGGAAATAAATACATAAACAAACAGTAATGTCCCAGTGGCCTAATCCAGCATAGGGCAGTTTCCCAGCTTCTTTCCTTATACTTCTGCCAGGACAACACCTCTGTACGGACTGTGTTTGAGGTTCTTCAACTCCAGCCGGCTGGGATCATCGTACAGAACAATGTGTCTTCCGAAGGGAGCACAGGGGGAGACCCCGGGGCAGCTTCAGGTCTTTCTGTCACAGGCACCTCTGCATTCGCAGCAGAGGGATGAAAGGAAATGTAATGTGAAAATAAAAGCACACCTGCACACTGGTGACACATTCTGAGTCCCACTAGGGGGAGAAAGGGTTAATTCACCTGGCTTAGAAGGGAGGTGAGATCAGCACTCGACTGGAGAAGGAAAGAGAGAGGATATTATCCGTTTACCTGGACAGGCCAGAGGAGCTCTCATTTGCCACCAGCGCAGAAGGAGAGAGGGAATCAATTTCCCTAGAAAGTCCAAAGCATTATAAGGATGATCTGATATGTGATTGTTTTCCTTCTAAAATCCTGAGAGCTTCATCAATTCAAGATGATGGTGCTGGTGGTGTAGCGGCCACAGTATTTTAGAAGTAAGCATCTAGTATTAGTGGTAGTATTAGTAGTATTACTATTCCTGTGAGATCCCACAGCTCCCCGCACATGTAAGGCAAATCTCACCTGCTGTTGAGACGTCTTTTATAGTTCTTAGATAACATCGCCCCATAGTGCAGGTAGGCGTCGCTTTTCCTGGAACACCCTGCCTCTGGAAAAATAAGCCGACTAATCTTGAGAAGTGGATTAGCCCTGCACAGCACGTGGCAGCCTACCGTGGCATCCGTCAGTCTCCTGTTTCTGCTGCAGGCCACAGCGAATGGCTGTGTCTGGCCTGCTGTAACAGAAGGCCTGAGCTGCACCAAGCCCGTGTTTGTTCATTCGTGTTTATGTTCCACAAGGGAAAAGCGAAAAAGCCGGTTCCAGCTATCCTGGGGGCATTTTCGGAGACTTTTGTTGCCAGTATTAGTCTGCCTGGTGGTTACTGACTCACTAACCAGGAATGTTTTGTTTTGCTGACAAGACACCACCAAACCCTGAAGCTCCGTGCCATTTCTGTGGAATGAATCAGCCTTGATATTGCCCGATAGGAACCATCTTCCAGGTTTAACAGGAGAGTGCATGTCAGCAGGGCGCACCTTTATAGACTACATCAGCCTTCCCCAGTCTGATCCCTTGTGTTAGACTACAGTTCCCAGTATCCCCCAGCCAGCCCTGCTCTAAACTCTACAGAGCAAGGATTGTGCCACCTGATGTTCTCCAGATGTGCTGAAATGCAACTCTCATGCTCACTTATTGACCATGCTAGCTGGAGCTGATGGGAGTTGTAGTTCAAATGATATAGAGGCCATCCAGTTGCTTTCTTCTTCACCAGAGCATCAGGGTAACTTATTAGTGAGCATGGTCCTTGATGTAGATGATAGTTGTGGAAGTGTACAACCGTGTGGGCAACTGCAGCCATTCTGCACGTTTGCACTTAATGCTTTCAGCAGGAACATGCGGGGATGTGCTGGAACACGGACAACGGTCCTGTTGAGAGTGGTCAAAAGCACATCTCACTCAGTGGAGGTCAAATGAATGAAGACCATCTGGGAGTTGATTGATTTAGTTATGCTGACTACAGATCAAAAGAAGGAAGATTGAGTTTCAAACATACATGAGCTCTGGAGACTGGTGATAAACTATCTGAAGAGGTTCTGCCAACTTAAATATTGACAGTGACAGCAAATATTTTACTTTATGGCACAGGATTTGGACACTATCATTATCTGAGTTAGGAGACTCATGTTGAATATTTCCTTTTCTCTGTCGCATTTAGCATGCTCTGGATATATGAAGCATTTATTTCAAGGAGTGGGTTCATGCAAAGGAGAGAGTTTCTCTGCTTTTAACTGGTGTCCAGAGGTTCAGCAGATGCAAGGTGCAAAAAACTTCACACCCTTGGTGCAATTCCCTCAATTACACTACAGTTACAGAAGCCTTATGCTCCTGTGCATTTAGTCATCCTAGTTCTCATGAACATGTCTTGAATATTTGGAATAGAGGAATTTGTCTTGGTTTGAGTCACACCATTGGAACAGCTTGCTCAGTATTCTCTACATCAGCCTTCCCCAACTTAGTGCCCTCAAGGTGGGTTGGACTACAATTCCCATTGTCCCCAACCCTCATGTCATATGCTGACTGGTAGTGGCTCTAGTGGCGTGTTGCAGATAATTTCCATTCCTAACTCTTTCCATTGATCCCAGGACTGAAACTGGAAAGTTCTGTAGAGTACATACCGTGTCCCTAACCAACAAAGAAAACCATTTATTCAGAGATTTTAAACGGCAGATAATACTCCTGTCCCCAAATCTATGGCAGAAATGTGTCAGTAAATGAAAGGAAGTTGAGGATGGTTCTAAGAATATGAGTCAAGAGTCAGACATTCTTGTCTGCCTCTACCTATATTCACAGGGGAGAGTGTCCGCTCTCTTCTTACCCTAAAATCTTGTCTCAGTGAGTATTCTGGCCTCCCACCATCCACCTTTAAAAAAGAATCATGATCATTTATTCTAAAATTTCCTGACCCTGAGAACAGCTGTCTTGTCCTGCCAATAGGGAAGCTGCTGCCATTTTCCATGACACAGGGCAGGGATCTTAAGCCCGGCGTCAGAAGCAAAGCTTCTCCCCATTGCACAGGGACCAAACTCTGTGGACTGCTGGCTGCTAGGGTTACTCCAGCCCAGACTTAACTGATGAGACCACATGAGGCTACAGTGCAAGACTGGCCATTCTGCACCCTGGTCTTGGCTGGCTGTCATCCTTCCAAATTATCTACAGCTGGGAAAACCGTCACTGCCTCACCAACTATGATAAAGTAATCCGGATGATGTTATGAAGTGCAAGTGACTTGCAAAGAATTCCTTGCAGGAAACAGAACAAGGACGTTCTCCACATAGAGAATACGGAAAATGACATCATAGTGGGCAGCCCTATTTGGCCAGAGTCCTGTGCTAGAGTTTGCAAAATGAAATGGATAAGTTGACCAGATCCGGTTCAGGAAGTGTATTAAGTGGAATCTCCTTCCTATAGATTAGCAAAAGGCCTCCGCTTCTTCTATTTACTCTCATGTGTTACCCCCAACATTCCAGAATCCTGGATTTCCGGCGGGTTCCTCCTGTGGTTGGGAGAATGATTAACATCACAAAGGAAATTTGGGAGATCACCAAGAATGAAATCCTGCAAAGTGTCTTTTTTATTTCACCAGGTAAGTTTCACCTGCACTGGCCTCCAAAGTAAAGCTTTCTGTACTTTCCTGATGTTGCAGTGCAAGAACCAAATCAAACTTCTGTCTAGAAAAAAGTGTGTGAGCCACAACAGAGACCATCATGTAGTGATCACACATGCATCTATTATGTGGAAGCTGCACGTGCTGGAAGGCTGTGAATATTTCTTTATTTGGAAAATCTATGAGAAAGAAAGGGCTTCCCAGACAAAGTGCATGAAACAATCACAAGAAAAGTGATTTCCATGTGTGATCATCCGCACACATTCTGTATGCTTTTTCCCCAATAAAGACCACCTGAAGTGGCCTAAGAAATGCAGTCATTTAATGCCTGCTCTGCTTCCTACTCCCATATACCAAAAGTCACAAACAATTGTATTTTATAATGATTCAGAATAAATCTATGCTCAAAATACTGCCTTGTACTTAGACAGCACAAGATTTGGCACTCCACAGTCACAGGGATTAGCAATGTATCCCTTTTTGAAACCATAGCCAATCTCATGATTTTACTACAATTATTGTTTCATAAATTGGCTTCCCACTTTGTAGAAACTGTGCAGCCCTGCATTGGCCATGTTGCTCATACATCTTACTCCCTCCATAGCCAGCAACGTCTGTTTCTTTGCCAAGTGTCCTTATATGTGCAAAACAGAATACGCCGTATGTGGGAACCCTCACCTGCTAGAAGGATCCCTCTCCGTGTTCCTCCCTTCGCTCAACTTGGCGCCAAGGATCTCCATTCCAAACCCATGGATACGATCTTACACCTTTACTGGAAAAGAGGAGTAAGTGGGTAAATGGACCTCTCTCTTTGTCTTCTGCTGCAACTGGCATGTCTGCTAAACCACTTTGCAGGGCATGGTGTGCAATATTCTGTGGGTGTTGCAATGGAAGTCAGTGCCATTTCCAAATTACAGATACCTTCAGCCATTAATTTCTCCCTCATCCCTAGCTGAGTGTAAATCCCATGGAACCCATTGGGCTTAGTTTGCTCCTCTTTTTGGCCTCACTGTCTGCCAAACTAGGGGCAGAAGCTACCAACATGCATGTCTTTGAGGAGGTCTAAGCAGCCTTTGACCAGGGTGAGCAGAGATGGGGAGTTTAACTCTTTCTCATCATGCTGGACAAAACAGCTCCTGGCTGCTATTTGCTATTCCTGGTGGAGCTAGTAACCCACATTGAAGAGATGATTTTTGTCAGGAACATAGCAAGGAGAGAGTTAAGTTCCCCCTTCCCTGAAAATTAACTTCAGGCTTCCCTGCAGTTGCTAGTTACATTTCTTTAAAACTTGGAGATTTATCCTGTGCCTCGGACTAATTGCCTGGCATCACATTAGTCCAAAGAGGCAAAGCCAGAGAAGAGAACTGAGCCCTAGTCTCCCAGATTACAGATAACTCCACACAAGATTGGACTGCTCGGGCTTAGATCCTGGAGCCAGTGATGGGCGAATCTATGGATTTCAGGGCAGTCCTGGGAGCAAGTGTGATGCAGTGGCTGGACTTTGATCTGGAAGATCTGGGTTCTAATCTCCTTTTGGGCCATGAAGGTCACTGGGTGACCTTGGGCCATACTCTGACTCACAGCCTAACCTACTTCACAGGGTTGTTGTGAGGATAACATGGAGAGGATTATGTAAGCTGTCTTGAGTTCCTTGCAGGAGAAAAGGTGGGATATAAATGTAATAAATTTTAAATAGACTCATAACTTTAATTTCGCATTTTTCCAACCTTGTGTTTGATCCAATTCCACATCAATGTACAAATTTTATTTTTCAAAGTCTATGCAAAAATAGTTGTCTTCTTGCACACAGCTCTTCCAATATACATATTTTTGTGTTTCCTTTTTCCAAATATGTGCCTTTTTCTGCACACTTTTGCTAAGGTACCGATTTTATTTCTGTGTTATTTTCACTATTGGGTGCAGCTGAATTATACAGAGTGTGTGTGCACTTTCTGCGATTTGTGCATTGGTGTGTGCTTTTTTTCTAAGTAGGCAACTATATATAGCATGGACAACTCTGTATCTACTTTGCCTATTGGTTAGGCAGAAGCAGATTTTAAATACTCAGACAGAACCAATTTCCAATTTATCTGGCCCTGGAGATCTTTGATGACGCAAATATGGAGCTTCTTCCATGTCATGGTCTCAGTGGGCCATTTTCCAGCGTGTGAAATAATTAAAGTGGTTGTTGATTATTTGGGAAAGAGTTCACTTGGAGAGCAGAGTCAGATATTCCTGCATCATGATTATCCCTTCGACTGAACCTTTGGGAAACAGTTACCTAAACTCAGAGCAAAGATCTGCGTTTCACATACTTAAGTTACACCATCAGGGATGAATTGTGAAAAGGTGATGAGGGCTGTCATAAATAGAATGCAGTAGAATACGGGTTTGTGGAAACCTTGGGTACTGGTGAAAGAGTTAATTCTGTTTATTTCTGATGTTATTCAGATGTTTGGCTACAATTCCAATCATACCCAGACACCATGGGCATTGGCTGAGAAATGGGCGTTGTAGTCCAAGGCATTGGAATGGCATCTGGCTGGGGATGGCTTTAGCAAATCCAGTGTGGATGATACTGTGCTCCAACACACCTTGAAGCTTTTGCTAAAGCCTCCAGGTGTTTTGAATTTCACAGTGTGACTTGTCAGGTGATGGCACCTAATCTGCAGAGTCACAAAGAAATCCACCCCCTGAAAGGTTAAGCAAACACAGATATAGAAGGGCAAGAAGTCCCAGTTCCTAGGAATCTCCTTGTCAGCTGTATGATCAGAACGGGATTTGGAAAAATGTCTTGGAGCAGCCGGTGGGGTTTTTTTCCTCCCTTACCCAGTGGAATATGCAATTGTTTTTAGAACCCTTTGTGTTCCAGGAGGGCCAAGAGGTCAGGTGAGTGGGGAAGTTGCTGCTGAAGGTACACAAGACCAGAGGCACCCAGAACTAGCCTGCTCTCTAGCCCTGGGCAGGCATGGGGATTTAAAGTGGGCTAGTGACAGGGCCATGCACACTGGCCCTGCAGGCGACAACCCCTGGCATGCTACCCCCAGCCCCAGTAAGGTAGGATCCATGTTCATACAGAGAGGCCTCCTCATGTTCAGATGAACACAAGCAGAGCTCCCTTTCACACCTCGCCAGTCCAGCAAGGGGGCCTGTGAGCCGCGAGAGGTAAGCGGTGGGGTGAGCATGCACAGTCTGGTCACTCCAGCCACTTTAAGGCCTGTGCCTTCAGGCCAAGGCCTGAGCAGGGCTTCTGGGTGTCTCCTTTTCTGCAAAACCCTGACATGGTCTGTCTTTGCAAAGTCCTGTCTGCCTAAAAAAATAGCCCAACATTTAGGCCCAGTGAGGTGGCCCCCTCAGGCCACTGGTTTCAAGTCTCAGGAAAGGACAGCAAATTGGTACTTATTTAGGACTCACTCTTATCTTTCTATTGTGGCATTCGGACATTTTCAAGGGGCAAGGGGCTTTGTAAGCAATGGGAGGAAGATCATTAAAATTCCCCCAGGTCTGGGGTCGAGTTGGGACTGGAGAGCACTGGGCTGAAGGCCGTCTCTTCTCTTGCTGTGTCACACCCACAATCCTCCCTGTGACAGTTGCAAAGAGACTCAGATTTCAAGCTGGGAAGGATAAACATCTACCGCTCTCTGCTTGATGGTCCAAGGGCCTTAGTAGCACTCGCTATATTTGAACGTATCTCCTCAGTATCATTTGGATGCATATTTGGACATACAGACTGCTCAGAGCAATGTGTATATTTGGAACAGAAGTTTTGGATCTTCTTTTTTCCCATTCAGCCCTAACCTCTTTGATATTTCTCACAGGTGGGAAGTCAATCCACTTTACTGCAATACAGTGAAGGAGATTTATCCTTACAGCACTGGCAGCCGGCTACTCAATATCATTGACATGGCCGTATTTGACTTCTTAATAGGTAAATGGAAACAGCTAAGTAATAATTAATCTCATTGATCTGACATGCTACCTCATCAAGGTTGCAAATGTCTCTTATGACATGGAATGCTGATGGCTCAGGGATAATCTGGCAAATTCAGGCAGTGTCATGGTGTTGTTTTTAGATGATCTTGGTTTTAGCCCTTATGCAGAAATTTAAACATGTACACAGATTTGGCTAAAGTCTTACAAAACAGGCATCTTTTGATGGATGGCAAGTACACCAGAGACCTAGCTTCGACTTGTCTCTGCGTCCTCCTTGCCTGCTCTTTTCTTCTCACCTGTAGCTGCTAGAATCAAGGAGATCTGGCATGGAATGGGAGGGCTGGTCCGGCATGGGATCATGGCAGCCAATGCCAGGTACAGGTTTTTGGGGGCCCTTGGACAAGGCAGCTCCCTTGGGCCTTCTCCCCCAGGGAGTCCACCTTCTCGTGGCATTCCCACCAGCCGCTCTTGCTCCTTATGCGCTTTCTCATTGCTGCTACCACTTGCCAGCTTGCCAGTGGGCGGGCAGGCCATGCCGTCGCTGCTCCTCCATCCCATCACCACCAGTGCCTGGGCCAAAGGGAAAGGCAGGTGAACACCCTGGCTGCAAGAGTGAAGAGGCGGAGCAAGGCCAGGGGGCTGGTGACAGGGAGCTCTTCACAGGGTCTGGACATGTGGCAAATGCCCAGCCATGCTTGTCCTGACAGAGGCATCAGATTAAATCCCCTTCTTCCCACCAGGGTCCCAACCTGGTTTCTGTCCCCTGATCCTTGCCTGCTATATACTTCTTTGAAAAGTCATTTATGCACCTACAGAAGCGTTCATTACCATGCTGAGTTGTTGACATTTCCAGCATGTGTTATATTTTGTCCCCATGTTAATCTAGCTATAAGACCACATGAACGCACATATAAGAACATGCCTCTTCAAAAGTAACTCTCTTGAACTATTTATTATCATTACATTTCTATACTGCCAGTAGCTGAAGCTCTCTGGGTAGTTTACAGCAGTAATCATAGAATTATACACTCAAGCCACCCATCCGGATTCTAACCAGGCCTGACCCTGCTTATCTTCCAAGATTATACAGGCTTAGGCACTTCAGACTACAAGGGAGCTTTTTGGGGTTGGGTTTTTTTTTTTAACTTTTTGCCATATCTCTATTCTTTTTCATATTTTTTGCCATATCCCATTGTGCATCATTCCAGAATTTGGGGGCAGGAAAGGAACAACCACTTTCTCACACACACACAGCCTTCCCTTATAAGCCAGCCAGGCTTCCTCAGCCAGGTGCCCTCTAGCTCTACTGGACTACAACTTCCAGAATCCCCCTGCTAGCTCTGCTAGTTGGGGAAGGCTGCTACATATTTAATAGCATTTTACAGAAAGCACCCTATTCCAGTCCTGCTGGCCAAGTGGTGCGCTGCACTTTATCAGTCTTCCAGTGCCAATAAAAGCCATGGCCTTGTCACGAGGCAATAGATTTCCCTTTCTGCAGGCTTCATGCGAAGGAAGAGAGGATTTGCCCTCATTAGCCCCTGCATAACCATAAAACAGTTGCGGATTCTAGAGTCCCGACAAAGACTCCCGTATCCATCATGCCGTCAGGATTAATAGCCTCCCTGTCATGGTGCTTTTCTGCAGGTTTGCAGAATAGCGGCAGTACCCTGGCTGCAAACTGCAATTCTGCCAGCACAGTAAGAACAAAGCAGTCATCATCTGCACACTCGCTTGGAAGTGAATATAACAGAACCCAGTGGGGCCCACTTCTGAACGGCCATGCATGAGATGGCACTGGCAGGCATTCTAGGCCAGCCTCCCTCAACCTGGCACCCCCCAGGTGTTAGAGCACAAATCCACCATTGCCAGCCAGATCCTGCCATGCGTATGCTGGCTGGGGTGATGGGAGATGGAAGCCGACATGTCTGGAAGGCACTGGTGGCTGAGGATGACTTTTTTCCTGGCCCATGATTTGTTACATGTTCACTATACCAACTGCGTAGCTGCATCATGCCTCAGGAAGAATCCTGTGTGACCCCGAAACAGCTGTTTTGTGCAGAGAGAAGATATAGTGCATCAGGGGATGCAAAGCCTTGGGGCGCCTCTGTTCACCTAGAGTCTTCTGGGGATCCCCACACAGCCATTGCCCCTTCCTCTGGTTTCATATCCTCCTCCTAGTCACCTGTCTCTGGTGGCTTCCCCATTTCTGTGCAGTTTTTTCCCTCTACATATTTGAAACAGTTGAAATGCCTCTTCTGTTACCTAATGACTTGCAGTAAGAGGGAAAATATGAAGGCTGTACCCGTTCGTTCTGCTCTGCCTACCTTTGGGATGCAACTCCCGAGAGCTTACCTGAAATGGACTTTGGCTCTTGGGCTGAAAGAGGCTGGACTCTCCCATTCTGTGCAATCAACCCTGCTATAAAACATGGAAATACCTGGAATATTGTGCCCCTTCATGAGCCCCCATTAGTCTCCAGGGACTACTAAGTGAACTTCCTTCTCTCTTTTGAAAGGCAACATGGACCGGCATCATTATGAGATGTTCACCAAGTTTGGAGATGATGGTTTTTTGCTCCACTTGGACAATGCAAGAGGGTAAGGCAGTCACCAAACCCCCTGTAGGCCAGGAGGAGCGATGGGAAGGAAGGGCTTCTCCTGGGCCTCACGAATGCAACCTCAGAATGCCCCATGTAGGATAGGGCTTGCATATGGAGATACATGCTGAGCTGGGTTCCAAGTCCTATTTATTATAATAAAGAAATATAATAAAGATCCTGGGGGAGCCAGTGTGGTGTTGGAAGGGGATCTGAGAGAGCCGGGTTCTACCCCGCACTCAGCCATGAAGCTCACTGGGTGACCTTGAGCCAGCCACTCACTATCAGCCCAACCTACACCACAGGGTTGTTGTTGAGGGGATAAAATGGAGCTGTGCAAGCTGCCCGGGGTTCCCCACATAAGGAAAAAAAAAGGTGGGATATAAATGCAATGTTGTTGTTGCATTTCCATCCCGCTTTTTCCTTGTGCTCTGCAGAGAACTGAAGGTGGCTTACATGGTCTTCCTCCTCTCCATTTTATCCTCACAAGAGCCCTGCGAGGTTGGTTGGGCTGAAGGCAGTGACTGGCCCACAGTGGGGGCAAGCGCCTGCATCCCCCAGGTATCAGCCCAACAGAGCAGTATTATGCCATGCTAACTCTCAGGTGAAAATGGGAATCTGGGTGTCTTTGGTAAGCATCAGAGAAAATTGGACAAAAAACTGAGTTGAACCTAAAGTGACTGAACAGCTCTCACTAGGGAATTTAGGAAATTTGAGTGCTGGGAGGGCCTCTGCTATGAAATCCCATACATGTTCATCAAGCTGGGATTCGCAGGATTTTGCTGTAAATCCAGGGCAGCTTAAGAGGTATAAAGTCACAGTAAGTTTGTGATGAACTATAAATTCAGCCTCAGACATATTGGAAAATAAAGCTAAGGCTGTCATCTTATTGAATGCATAGGGAGAATCGTACTGCGTAGCTTGGGGAGAGCTCGTGCACAGCAATGTTCAATAAGTGAAACATGAAAAAGCACAACTTCTTTTATTGCGGACAGGCATTGTGCACAGCAGCCTCCCCCATCCTGCTCCCCCCGCAGTTGTTATACTACAGCTCCCATCATTCCCAGCTGGCAGGATGGCAATTGCAGCCCAACAATTCTGGAGGACATCAGATTGGAGAAGGGTGCTGCACAGCCACCCACCACCCACACTGGGGGAAGCAGGTCATGAGCTCCGGAACCACAAACTGGGGCAAACGAGTGTCAATTTATTTTGCCCAGAAAGCAAAGAAAATGACTGGAAAGCCAGCTCTGTATGGTTGTATTCCTCAGTGTCTGAAACTGAAAGAGAAGCAAGAACCTTTGCCTTGGCTGAGTGCTAAATACAGCAAAAACCCTCTCAAGCAGGCAAACCCCACATTAGAAACCTTCTCTAAATGAGGAGGAACCGGGTGACAGAACAGCTGGACCTTAGGCTCCCGTGTGCGTTCCTCGTGGTGCCGGGTTGGTGCGAGGACTAGACAAGATACTGGAGAACCGTGTCTGGACCTCCCATTTCTTTTGCATTTCTTCCCAAAGCAAGTCCAGGGAGCCTCCGAGTTGGCTGGGGACTGGGACATTTTCCCAGGGAGAATCCCACTTCCCAACTCCTATTTGCCCTTTACGGAAATGGTCTGGGTCTCACTAACTGGGCAAATAGCAGCTTAGGGAGGTGGAAAAATTGGGGGAAGAGAAGCCTACCATTCCCAGGACCATCAACTGGCTCCAGTTCGGGAAGGAGGGTTGCAAGTGTTGTTAGAAGGACTTAAAATAGGTTTTTCAAAGAACTTAAAGAAGCGGGAGACCTGATCATAGATCTCCATCATCTTCTGCAGTTTGGCCTTAAGCTGTAGTCCACTGAGGTCAGGAATGACATACATGGTCCAGTACGGACAGTCTCTTTTTTTAAGGCTGCCTTTCAAGAACTGCTGACCCCTGAAGTTTTAGCCCTCAGCTCCTGCCAGTCCCACCCAACAGGGCCAGTGGCCAAGAATGCGGGGAGTTGTAGGCTAAGACAATGAGAGAGATGTTGAGGAGTGCCGACTGGGGTTTCCAAAGCCAAAGCTGGCAAGATCAGCAATATGCTGTTGTGCTCGGCATCCTTGAGATGGCTAGATGGGTTTTCCAGGCATTCCAGTCCCACAGAGGCTGCTGGGAGTTGAAGTCTCTAAAATGGGCTTGGGTGCAACTTTACACAGCTGGCATTTCAACTTGTTTGTCTGTTGCCCTGATAGCTTTGGGAAGCACTCCCATGACGAGGTCTCCATCCTGGCTCCACTTGAACAGTGTTGCATGTAAGTACTTGCAATTCGGAGTCTTTTGATTCAGCAGAAGGCTAAGCAAGAGCTCTCTGAGCCAGAACAAGCGAGTGAGCACTCGATTCACCTGAGGGGTTGTAGTGAGATGCCTTTGCCAGGCACCATCCCACAGAAATACTTAGTTTCAGCCTGAGGCAGCTCCAGAAAGTGCTCCCAGCCTCCCAAATGTACTGGTTTAGTAGGGATGGTGGGGGAACATGGGACTTGGAAAAGTGGAGGCTCTGATCTTGGACATGTGCATGCCCAAGCCCATGCTGGGCTACTGCACATGCTTGTGGCATCATTAACGGATGCTGCCCACCATGGAAAAGGCCTGTCCCCAGAGCACCCTCTGAGCTGTAGCACTTCTGCAGTCAACCAGGGATGTAGAAGTAAAAGTCAAGGTGCTCCTTATGGCACTCCCCTTAGCTGTGCCCCCCAGCAAAGCCCAAAAAATGCAGACAGCTACCTTGAGCTGAATAAACAGACTGGGTCTAGCTGCCATTTTCCCTTGCCCATTAGCAGGTCATGGGTTTGAATTGCCTATCCAAGACCCCAAAATAGTTTACAACAGAATGTACTGCTGCTGAGAAGTCATCTCCCATCCACACACCTCCAGTTGCAGTGGGAATTGCAGCCAGGCACAGGAATACTGGAAATGCTGAATAGGGTTGCCAACAAGATCAAGATCCTGGAAATTAAAACGTGCCGGCACAGCATCCCCCTAAGTGAGCCCTGGTTCCACTCCGCCACAGCAGCCAACATTCACATCCAGGCCATGTCGCAGGCACCCTGCCTCTCTCCAGCATCACCCTGTACCCCCACCTTGATACCTTTGGGACAGTGGGGATGTCTCCCGGGAAGCACTGTAGTAGAGCCCAAAGCTCTCAGATCTCCCCACTGGCACCCAGCACCCCATGCTGGAGCCCAGCTCTGGAACAAGTTTCAAATGTTTGATAGCTTTGACAAGATAATTCCATTTTGCTGAGTTATTTCTACAGCAGGGCACAGCAAAATCCCAGCTGCATGCAAACATCAGGCTTCGGAGGTGCTCCTGCATGCACATCCATTCTCCTTCGAACGTGCCATTTGTCATCACTTAAGGAAATAGTGGCGTTTCTTTTGATCCCTGTCAAACATGTCCAGACTTCAGCGGCTTCTAAAGGGAGTGAAAGAACGTGAACGCCATCTGTGACGATGGTGTCCCCCTGCAGCGATGGGAGAGATGCTCATAAGTCTTGCTGCCTGCATCCTCTCCAGGCTGCTCCTTTATTACCATGCATAACAGCAGAGCCAGGCCTTTAAAGAGCTGCAGCAAAGGGCTATTCATCCTCCAGGTTTCTCCCTCCACCTGACTGTTTCCATGATATACCCTGTATTTCTGTGCTACCTGGTGTCAAAAGCATCCTCTCCCGTCATACAGCTCTATTGAGCCTCTAGGTCAAATTTCAGAAGCCATTATTCACACTTTGTGAGACTTCTAACTTATAATTGCATGGTTGCCAATAAATCCTTTCAATGAACTCCAGGTCTCCATGATTTAAATTGGCTGTTGCTAGTGCCTAACCTGAAATAGCCACCTCCTGTCAGCCAGCCACAAACTTTTACTGAATCAGTATTTTAAATTCAGGGGGGGTGTGCAAGCCATGGCAGCATCAAGCATTCCAACAGCATGCAGCATTTATTTTACCCCTAGCAAATAGGGAAAGTAACGCAGACTTTCATGCACTTAGAATTTAGGCACAGGGGCCCGTTTCAGCTTTCGCATTTCCAGAAAAAACCTGCAAAGGCATTCGCAGATACGGATGTCTTCAGGAGGAGCTGGTAATAGACAGGTCTTTGTGGGGTTAGTGCTTCTTCCAGCCTCTGGCTGCAAAGCCAGAATGGATTCATGCTCCTCTTTGGGAAAGTTTCTGGCATGTTTCTTCAGTTCAACTGTTTGCCATTCAAATGGATGCACCATGAAACTTTGCTTCAGGTGGGGGAAGAGGGTGCTTGTGCTTCACTGTGTTTTGTGTTATGCGAAATAGAATTAGGATCCTGCACAACCAACCAGCTTCTGCTGGAAATGGGAAGAACTGTTTGATCCCAAGTTTGATATCCTGTGATAGGTCATACAGCCATGTGAATCCACTGGGATCGCCACCCAAACTACCACATCTGAGGGCACATGGAGGGCCAGTATGGCGTAGTCGTTAGAGTGCTGGAATATGGATCTGGGAGCCTTAGATGCTAATCCACACTCAGCCATGGAGTTCACTGGGAGACCTTGCACCAGTCACAGACTCTCGGTTGCACGGTTCTTGTGAGGAGAAAATTGAGAGAATGAGGGTCATGTAAGCTGCCTTGAGTTCCTTGAAAGGAAAAATGGTGGAATATAAATATAATAAGTAATTGTGTAGGCAGTCAAGATTCTAGATGCCATGCCTCTAAGTTACATTGAGAAATATGCATGTGGCAAGTGCAAAAGCAGTGTTGAGAAGCCAGTGATGGCTGGTGCTGGTCCAACAACATCTGGAGAACTACAGGTTCTCCATCTCCATGCTAGAGGATCGAAAGTCAAGACAGCTTCAATTTGGTCAGAATTACTGGTGTCAGGAAACGTTGAGTTGCAGACTATGTATTGCCCTGTCCAGTCTGATTACTTCCAGACTTTGTCTGGATGACAGATTTTCAGAGACTTAAATGTCATGTCGCAAAACTGGCATTGCTGATGGCACCACACACTGGATTTGCGTCTTTTATGTTGGCCTCCAGTCAAATTGATTTTATAGCTTTGCAAGCTATGCCTGAAAAAGCTGATGCTAAATTCAGAAATGTGGTCAATACTACTGCAATCACATCCTCACATATACCTGGATTATATCTAGAATTTGTTTAAATATAAAATGCTTATTTTTAGCATGTAAAATAATGGGTGCCTATCCATAAGTATGCTCATGTAGCATTTCAAAGAAGGGACCATGAATGTAGTAATATTTTTCATACTCTGCAATGTTCCTGATTTGTAAGAACAGGATTTAAAAAAAAAAGCTTAAGAATAAATTGACTGAACCAGATACTATCAATTTCAATTATTCCATCCAGCTGAATGAGGCTGTAAGAAAAAGATGCAATTCAGAGAGTGGAGTAGACGTCACACATTCACACACATTTCTGCATTGAGGGACACTGGGCCTGAAGCGCTGTAACCAGTTCGAATTAGTGCTTCTTCCACTTTGGGGAGGGGCTAATGAACAAGATCCTGCATGCCCTTCCATCTAATTTCTGGGGATTCGCCACTCATTGCCCACACATTTGCAACCATGCAAGGTAGATGGTTGGCTCAGAAGCAGAAAGAAAGCTAGTTGGCACAACCCAGCTGCTCTGCACTCAATTTACACTTCCATGCGATGCTGGAATACATAACCCAGGTATATTCTAGCGGCAGCAAGTCAGCTTTTGTGGCACGTGCAGTTTCAACATACGCTTTGTACTTGGTCTGATTTTACTAAATACATTATACATATTCTTGTCATACTTTACCGCTTCTGAGAAGAGTAAATCAGAAATGGGAACAGATGTCTAGTTGCAACTATCGTCGCTAAGGACAAGCGTGCACTAGGCAGAGAATGTAGAAATGGCCTTTATTTCCCAGCAGGCAGGTGATCAGTGGGCAATGTCCCACCTGACTAGAAGCCCACACCATGTCATGTGGCTCCACTCCCCTGAGTTGGTCCCATGATGCCACAGCCTGTCACTGGGAAGGGTTTGCTGGCAGCCCAGGGATAACCCACACGGTGGGGACTGATCCATCTGTGTAGTGACCCTGGACAGACAGGATCACTCACTACATAGGCTGGCTACCACAGGGAGACACGTTTAGCCATGTATTGCATGCATCTCTAAGGACTAGAGAGCCACCAAATGTTAAACCAAAGTTATCAAGCAGTGCTTGGGTTGTGCCATGTGGCCAAATAAAACCCAGGTCACCCGGAAAAGGAGAAGACTGTCAATGGCTATGAATCATGATGGCTGCCTATTGCCACCAGTGTCAGAGGCTGCAGCCCCCTTTAGACCTGTTGCAGGGAGATGTGAGCTGTTGCATTGCGGTCCTGCCTGTGGGTTTCCTGCAGGCAACTGTCTGAACAGAATGCTGAACTTTCATCTGATCTTGTCTTCTGCATAATACTGCTCCGGGCATAGTTTTGTACCCTGCACTTTCAGCCCCTGAATGAGAAACTCACAGCTGGGAAGTACAAGAAATCACCTTCCAAAAAACCCTCCATGTCTGTTCCCCTAACACACTCTCCACTTGTACAGCAAAATGGCAGCTCAGATCTTAGCTTCTGATCAAATGTATTTCAACAAAAGCCCAAAGCACACATGCAAGAACACACAAACAGATGACGTTGCCTTGGCATGTGTTCCAAATACTTTGCCATTTTTGAAGAGCAGCAGAGGAAATGATCATTTGAGCGGCAGAGGGAGAGAGATGTTGTGAGCGTTGTGAATGCCAATAGGATTTGAGCACCAAGGAGAAATTCACCTATTGGGGGTGCCTTCCTACACACACTTGAAGTCTGCATTCCAGCCAAGAGCCATGCTGAGGGTTATTTATTGCACACTATTCCCTCACCCCCTTCCAACTACTCCCAAAATACGTGATACTGCCCTTTCAGCATCACTCAGTATGTATGTTCGGTTAGCCAAAGAGCAGTCTAATTACATTAGTCACTTCCGCAAGCTCGGATGTTAAGTGCCAAGTGAAATCGAACCCAAAGAGGGACACAAAAGTTCTTCAGACATACAAGAAGCATACAAACATCCCTAACGTCTGTATTATTAAAAATGAGACACTTTATAATTCCATACAGGAGAAGCTAAGCAGGGGAGGGAGTGGTTAGCTTTCTCGCTTGCATGAAGAGCTTGGCTCAAATCTGTTTTCCCTTCTTTCTCCAGAATAAAGAAGACAACATTGTTGCGGCTGCAGCTCTTAGCTCAGCCGGATTATAGGCTCAGCGATATCATGCGGGAGTCCTTGCTTCAGGACCGCCTGGCTCCTGTGCTCACAGAGCTGCACCTCTTGGCCCTGGACAGGAGGTTACAGATCATCCTGAAGGCTGTGGACAAGTGCATAGAGGCCAATGGAGAAGAGACCGTTGTGTCTGATGCTGAGCTGCTGGAGTTGCCAGCCTTTGACAGAATGACCCAGTCAAGCTAGAGGCCTAGTAGGGACTCTGCATCTGGACCTTAATGGCTGATCATGGTCCCCTATCCCTGGACAGTTGGCATGGCTGTGGGGGAAGGTCTTGAGCAGGCCGGGCTAAGCAAGCTGCTAGGATGGCGGTAGTAGCAAAAACTACATGGTTGGCCTGTTTGTATACTGTTTACTGGAACTTCATCTCCATCACAGCCAGTGAACTTTGCACCTCTTTTCCAAGAGACCTGAAGAAATGAAGCACTCTGTAGCCACACAATCATGGGGCATCTGTGCAGCTTGTGGGATCTGTCTGGGCTCTCACTGCTATACAGTCTTGGGCACTGGCCTTTTAACCAGTGGATGGAATAAAAAGGAACCACTATAAGGGAAACATGCTTGACACATGTGTGTGCGCATGTACACGTGCATCCAGTTCTAGGACAGCACCAGTAAGGAAGCTCGCAGGGATGCTGAACTGGTGGAGAACCATAGTAGGAAGACTAGCAAGGCAAAAAAAGTGGGAGATGATGTGTTAGAATATTGAGAGTTCAGATCCTGCTCCTGATGTGGCAACCATTTTGGAGGGAACAATGGGAGCAAAGACTGTTTTGAAGAACAGAACCTAAGAAGAAACATCCATCTAGGCTGCTAAGTGGAGGCAAATTTCTCTGGTACAATTCATAATGTGTAGCACTGCGTACTTCACTTGACTCTCAGGTTCATAGCAAAGAAAGAAGACAATGGGCAGCAGTGGCATGGAAGTGGGCAGGCAATCGTTTAATTATCCTGCTAAGTTATTGCAGCTGCCCCGGTTGAATCTTTGCAGCCCCTCACCGCATTCCCAACACAGGAACTGGATTAGAAGAGCAGTCCCTTAAGAGGTGTTTCATGACCACTGCTAGCAAGCCTCCATTGATATTAGAGTGCAAAAAGAGCTAGCTTTTCATGCAGGAGTCTTCTGAACAGCCACTGTCATAGTAACTATAAAACAAGAAAGCCTGGTCTGTGAAAGAGCAAGCACAGAAAGCCCATAAAATGGCTCAAAGTCTAAAGAACCATCTGAATTGCAGGGTCCAGGGATGGGGCTGCAACAAAGTGTTGCAGCATGGAATGGTCTTGTTCATAGTGCCAGCCAATCACTACTATCCCTTCTAATTCTCCATTTCTCCCACCCAAATGTTTAGCGATCCATGGCCACTGAGCACGATCAGTGTTCATTGGACTGATTCATAGCAATAAACATTGACCCTAAGATGCCTCCTTAGGGTCTTCCCCACCCCTTTTTTAAACTTCTGCAAACCTTGGAGTTCCTCAAGCATTCTGAGACCTCCTTTTCATTTCTCAGTGGCCCCATTTTGGCTGCAATCCTGCTGGAACTCAAATGAGTTTGCTCTTAGGAGAAGTGATAGCTCCAGGAAGCAGAACTTGTTGAGTATATTTCGATATGAGGGCTACTTGGATCAGATACTCTTGTAAATCTGATCATATGTATGTTCAGAAAAGATGCATAGGAATGAAGCTGCAACAATTTAATCTGACATAGCCCAAGGAGCCTGGAATCATTTACAGAAGGCAATAGCTATAGGGCAAAATGGCTGGTACTATGGCCATGTTTTAGCAAAATATGTTTTCAAAGTCCTTTCCTCCAGCGGTTTCCCAAGTGCTTTCTCTCTGTGTCATTCATCTTTGGCTCCTGGTGACTCTTCAAAAGATCATTGTGTGGTTGCCCACTGTTTATGGAAAGTATGAAGGATCTGAAGGAGATGGTGCATGTTCTCTTATGCAAGAGTTTATGGCATGACCTGGAGCATGGTTAACAGCTAAGAAAATCTAAGAAGTGCCATCTTTCAGTGTTCCATAGAAGCTATCCTTGGATCAGAACCATGCCTCCTGATCCTATGTAAGTGGTGGCTAAAGTTACTCGGTGAAAGAAGGCAATTCTGAATATGAAGCCCTGCATCAGCATAGACAGCCAAGTGCCAGGCTCCCAGAAGGCCTACTGAAGCAGACACCAGCAGTTAAAACTACTTGAAAGGCCAGCTGTTGAGTGGAGAGGGAGTGGGCATCTCGATCGTTCCTCCAGATGGGGGAAGACTGGGAAACCTCAGGCACAGGGTCCTAATCCAACCTGCCTACAGTCCCAGATGGTCCCACCTTCTTCCCCCACCAATTATTTGATGGCTTCCTGGCTTTTGCACAGTCTTTTCCTCATTCTAAACAATTGAACTGCCCGCCCTCAGAATTAGTTTAGGTGAATGTATGCTGACCTTCCTTGTATACGGGCCCCATCTCTCTTGCCTTGGTTCCACCCACCTCAGAAATGCATGCTCCCTCAAAAGCTTCTCTGAATTGCAATCCATCTGGAAGGGCTTGCTTGCCCCCACCTTGGAGGACATCCTGCACACCCCCTGCTTTAAACCTGGTAAGAGACCTACTGAATGTGCTCAGGAACCCAGAAGCAGCAGCTAATGCAACAGTCTATACTACTTTCAGTGTCCCAAAGTTGAAACCTGGTGTTGAAAACAGACTCCAGAGCAGAGAATTTCCACAATTTAGGTTAGCTTGGGAGCGTTGAGAATTGTCAGCATGAATAATGACTGTACAGTTGCTTATCTGTTTGGCTGCTCTTTGAACAGAACTACCTAATGACCCAAGCATTATCAGTTCTTTCAGCCCAGGTATCTAACTTATGAGGCTATGAAGAAAGCAATGGTTGTGAAAGTCAGGCCATTTGCTTTAACTGCTTTCCCATCTGCACCACATTTTGTATTAAATCTATCACAGTTAAGAAGAATTGCTCCATGCCACCTACTGCATCCCCCCTTCAGATCCACCAGTAATTGAATCCCATCCACCTTAAGTATAGTAGTATACTTTAAAACTAATATTTTCACATTTGGAAAATTTAGGTTAATTGCTGATGCATTTTTGACATTATGGACATCAGTAAACCTCCCAAAAAGCCCTATTTATGCTGTAACTCCTTGGGACTGCAGGCAACATTTGCACATGTCTACCTGAGATGCTACCAAGTTAAATATTTTACACCAGTGAAAAGACACCAATCCAGCTCTTTCAGCAACTTAGGCCAAACAGCAAGGAGATCCTGTCAGCCATCCAGCAAAATAGTCCAAGCCAATTGCAAATTCTTCATTTGTATTCAATCTGCTCAGGGTTTCCCATGAATTATGTGATCTACTTTTCATTTTCATGCTGGCCTCCAAGCACTGGAATTTCATTTCTCAACATACAATTATGAAATAGAGCAAATAGAATATTATTTATTTAACACTGTATTACAGCTCCCTCTGCTGATAATCTGCTGGTAGTACGCTAAGTTTTTAAGGCAAAGATTTGCCCATTTGTGAAGCAAAGGTTAAAGGATTCCCTGTACAGTCACTTTGTGACTTGGGCAGGATGAAAGACTTGTGTTGAGTCACTGACTCAGAATTCACTGGGCTCAAGTAAAATACATTTTTGATGTACTGTGATTTCCTCTTCAATTCTGAGGTTGAGTACACCATATTTGATACCAGAGGACTATCCTGTTGCAGAAAACACCATTCCTGGCTTTGTGTAATACAGTCCTCCATATAAATGGCTGAAGAAAACTCTGAACTCCCTGGATATGTCAAATATTTAAACAAATATTGTAACTTGTAACATCTGTTTTTAAGCAAGTTACATGAAAAGCAGCAATCCCATACAATGTTATATCTCTTAGTAAACTGCCAGCCATAAAAAATGCACTATCTTTGAAATGCTTAGTGCTTTTGGTCCAAATGACGAACCCATTTCAGCCTTATACATTGCTTTTTTTGTAAAAAAAAAAAAAAAAAAAAAGTGCCAGAACTCACATCTTGGGGTCACACTTTTACGCTAAAAAGGATTTTCAATTCACCCACTTTTTTTGAAATAAAGAACTTATTTATCTTTTGCACGTAGCCAGTCACCCTACACACACATAAACATAATGGTCACCGCCGGCAGTAAGCACTCAGCGCGTGACTACACGACCGATCCCAAGCCGAGCAGCGCCCTCACAATCAGCACTGACACACAAGCAGCCTGCAGGCACAATGTTAATGATTTTTGCCGCCGACCTGCTGCGCCCAACAGGGCGATTCACAATCACTTGGAAAAATCCGTCAAAAAAAGGTGCCGGAACGCTGTTCCGGTGCATTCTATGACAAAAAAAGCCCTGGCCTTATACATGGCTTTTTAAAACAAAGCTCAGTATTATTTTTGCTATTCACCGGTTGAGCAGCAAGATGTATGCATGACTAAAGATTCACACTTTGTTGTTGTTACGTTGCTTTTATATCCTGCCATTTTTCCTCTTGTAAGGAACTCAAGTTGGTTTCCATAACTCCATTTTATCCTCAGAACACCCCTGAGCTAAGCTGGGCTGAGAGTCTGTGCCTGGCCCAAAGTCACCCAGTGAGCTTCATGGCAGAGTGGGGACTAGAAGCTGGATCTCCTGGATCCCCAGTACAACACTCTATCCACACACGTTTTGCTGCTCTAAATCCTACTAACATGGATTCATTTATGCTTCTCTGAATCCTATTCATAATGTAGGTCAAAAATAACACATTGCTTTTTTGTTTGTGAATATATCCTGCTCTTGCATTGGACTTCATCCAGGCCTCTGGTTAGGTCTGCGTAGGCCTAGTCTGGTAGACATTCTAAGATCATTCTTATCCAGTCCCAAAAGCACTCTGTTAGCATGCAGCTGTGATCTAGAAGACTGTTAAGGGAAATCCTTGTAGCAGTATTAGAACCTAACTTTACCTAACTTAAGCAACATGTCTAGAGTTTCTGTTGGCATGTATCCCACATGAACATGATACTGGCTAGTTGAGTCAGAATGAAGGCAGAGACTGCTCGCAGAATCATTAATAAAAAGTTCTGCATGAATACACACTGTACAGATACTTCCAGAAAGATCTACAATCACATGAAAAAGACTGCATTCCATATTACAATTATTTAACCCACAGACCATGCCTATGCCTACGAGAAAAGTGATGTGGGAAGTAACCCATGGAGCTCTCCGCCAGAGAAGCAATATGATAGTGACATGCCCAAGGTGTATGAATCATACCCAAGCGTGACACATTTAGAAGAGTTTGTTAGTAAGATAAAAGCAAATCTAACAGACATTTTCCCCAGTGGCTTCAAGTACCAACAAGCTGAAATTAATTTGGTAAAGGAGCCAGTAATATTCTTCAGAAGTTGACTTGAATAGGAAAGATGCCATAACTTGTTCAGAACGCATTAAACGAGCAGCGCAGACCTAACTACTTGGCTTACAAAAAAAATCAAAACAGCTGTGAACTGAATTTAAATGCAAGGTTATGAGCATGCACCTAAATTATGGTAAATAAAACTTAAGTAGTAACACCAAGCCTGTGTGGGGAAAGGGCATGATCAATCATGCAGCCTATCCCCAGCCTGCATACTATGGCCCTGAAGCATACTGTAGAACAAAATAAAACACTGATTACATTTAAGAATTTAAATCGTTTTATTGCTTTACCTGCCATTAGGACAATCTATAACAAAAGGAATATATTAGCACATACAGTAAGTCAGACTTACAGTCTGGTAACAATACAAAAATGGTCCTCTGGTTTACTATAGCACTCTAGGGCAGTAGAGTTTAATTTGCTAAGGTGACCTAGCAAACAAACAAACAAAAGATTATCTCTAATGCCCTGAATGTTAGCTAAGGCAAACTATACCAACTGTGGATTCAAACATGTTTAAATTGCACACAAAGGTAAAGCTTTAACTGTGATTAATATTTAACTCAGACATAGCTGGTTCATCTTAAAATCTTGTTGGTAAAACTACAAAAGGGAGTAAACAGCAAGCTAAAAAGACGCAGTAGTGAAACTTGATTAGAAAGCCTTATATAAAAAATGTGCATTTTTGTGGTGCTCTAACTAGCTTACATAAGATTTAAAATCTTTTTGGTACTTCAACAAGGATCAGATCAAGCTTCAAAAGTAACAAAAATATAAAGAAAATAATCCCTGGATAGGTTCAAACTGAATAGAGTTTTAGAGGAAAAAATAGCATGTACTGACTCCTGAAGATGAGAGGTGGATATCCTTATCTCACCAATGTCTTTAGGAAATACAGAAGGAATTCACAATATATATGTTACATTTAATCCATATCTAGAAATGTGGACCTATCAAGAGCTCCCCACAGGTTTTTTTTTATACTAAGGCTCCTATTCCTTGAACTCTAAATATGATTAGCAAACTTTTCTCAACAGCCAACAAATCAGAAAGGCATATACCAGGTCCAATTGTCCATTAGGGTGGGTGGAAGGCTTGGGTGCATGAGATTCATAAAAAATAGTTGCTTAACTAATGGAAAATACTTGCTGTCACTCCCAAATAAAACCCTATACTAATTTCTTTTAGATAATTTACATGTTATAATGAAACTGAATTGCCTACATTATCCAACTGTGAAATTCCATAAAGCTAGTGGGCAGCACTTGGTGCACACAGAATATTGTTAACACAAACCTGGTAAATACTGAAACACATTTCAGACTTGACAACAAGGTTAACTTTCCAAAAATAGTTATTCTGTCAGAGTGATATGAGAATCTGGGGCAAAACAAAGACCTAAGTGAGCTGCTCAGACTGAGTATCTTTGAACATTTAAAAGTTAACAAAACTTCTGTTTGGACAAAAGTTACTCTTAGAAAGAAGAGTTTGACAGGACACAAGACACTGGTTTTTGCTTCCTGTCTTTCAAATGAGCCAGTCAGGTCATCCTCCGAAAGGTGATTGCATATTTCAGTCCACACTGAATGCCAGCTACTTTAACAGAGCCACTGAATTCTCTGGTTCCACCATTAACAGGGAGGGCAAAGATTGCAAGTGGCAGGCAAAAGACTGGACATGCAGGACATACCCTTCAGTTTGCTGTTCTACATTCACTGCATGGGGTGTCACTATTTGGCACTAGCTAAGCAGCAGTGCAATTCTCATGCCAGGATCAACACCAATATTCAGGGGTTCAACCCATTGGTTGGGTATTGAGAATTTGTACAGAGAAAAACAGGAAGGGCAAATATGAATATTCACAACTGAGAACAGGCAAAAGATCCAGCAGCAGTGGCAGCATCTGCCAATGCGAAAGCTTGTACAGAAAAACCCCACACACAATCACCAAGCCATCTTGAACCAACTGATATGGATACAGGTGCACCAACCTATCAAACTGTACTTGTGGTTTTACTGGGAGTTAATCTCAGTAAATCAATCTGAAAGTAACCCATATCCTGAACATTTATGCCAAGAAGTAGAGCTGAGAAGATAAGTGTCTCTGTCTAAAAGGAGTAGAAAGTGACCACAACCTAAGAAATATAGGACTCACCAAATGAGAAATGTGTGCCCTGTAAGAATTTTCTACTGTTACAGCCTTAACTCTATAGCAATAACCTTGGTGCTAGGAAATTTTCCCAACAAAAGGAATGGCAGTCACTGCCTAAGTTGGACAGTGTACATTGCACAGAGAGAAGCAGTAACAGCAAATGTCTCCATACAATTTTCTATTTATTTTAAATGGGATCAGGAGCACCAAAATAACGCTCTTAAAATTTAAACTGATGCCATGAAAAGCAACTGGTATCTTTTTTCCTCCCTCAGACAGACAGGAAGCTGCAATAGCCAGTGGCCATGTGGCTCTGCACAAGAATAATGAAGCAGTCTGCACTTGTGAAGCATGTATCGCAGGAGGAGGGAAATTTCAGACAGACAGAGACACAAAGCTGTTGTACTGCTGGATGTTCCTTTTAAGAATATCTGAGCACGGACCCAAAACACGCTCAAATCGGGGACGGTCAAGCTTTACACATTTCAGCGGGCCACGAGCAACAACAGTGGCAGCACGAGGTCGATTCATGAGTAGAGCTATTTCACCTAATGGAACAAAAGAGAAGATTTCAAAGTGGACTAAATACAAAGCAAAGTAGTTTCAAGCCAAGCAACAGAGTCCCACATTAGCCTGTTTCCGGAGAAGAAATCCAAGGGCCCATTAGATACTGCAAACCTCCAGGCAGAGAAGTGGAGGTTCTCCTTTGATCAGCAAAGTGTGATTGGAGTGCACATGAGGGTAAATCGGGGAAGTCAAACACACTTCCGGAACAGGGGAAGAAGCTGGCATAGTTCTTGTTCTTCCAGTTGGACTCAGTGTTGGTGGGGCAGAAAACAAGTCAGCCCACACTTCTGCCCATACCAACTGAAGAACTGGTAGGTTTAGTGGGCTCCTCTGCCAGAGACCCCTGCCATTTCCCACCAGGACTGCTATGCAAATAGAAACTAGGGAAATCCAGAAAGCTTTTTCTTTTTCACCATGAGTAAAATGCCTTCAAAACTGAGAAGTGTTATATCTTTGCAGAGACACGCTTAAAAGCAAGAATGAAGACTAAGTTCCTATTTTGGTGTTATGAATACTATTTCCCATTCTCAGCTTTCTTTTGAAATGAATTATATCCCCCATCCAAATTATCTTAAAGCACATAATAATAACAATCTGTTTATGCAGGTTTAATAATGCAACTGTATTTCTGATGCATCAGACACACTGTAGAAGGTCTAGTCCCAAATTTTCCTAGGCAATTAAGGATGCAGGGATATTAGTGGTCTATGTCAAAACCCTGTTCACAACTACAAAATGAAGGATGTAAGATTGAATTCTTTTTTTCTCCTCAGTGGCTTTAATTTCACAGATTGTCATATCATGTTGAGAGCAATTTCTTCCAATGGCACAATGTGTTCTCTGACCCAAGCACAGCTCTAGGAAGGATGGTAGGGAGGTCTCTGTCTCATGAGATGGGACAGAAAGAGGAAAGAAGCCAGTAATTAATGGACAGGGTGGGGTGGGGGTTCAGAAATACTGTATAATCTGCAATGCCTTAAGTGTTAAGCCTCAGAAGAATACTCAACTCAAAAAAGCAAGAAAACTCACCAAAATAATCAGAGGGTGCCAGTCTACCCACTTCAACAAATTCTTCATGTTCTGACCTGCGCTGTAACACAGCAGCTGTACCCTTTAAATGGATTAGAAGGTTAGTTCACTAAGTTTACTTTCCCTGCCATATGCAAAAGCAACTCTTTCATAACAGATTTAGAAAGCAGAAGCACCCCTATTAAATAGCTAGGTTTAATCTGTGCCATTAGCCCTAAAAAAAGCCTGCTCAGAAAGGGAGTTTAGTGATATTATCTCCCATTCAAAAGCACATTTCACAATTAAAGAAAGCATTCATTCATATACAGACACTGCCAACTCAGGATCTCTGGTCTGTTTTAAAAGGCATTCTCAATGTATAATCAAATCTACCGCAGAAAGAATGAGTCAGTTTAACCTGCTGCTGCACCATGGATTTAAGTTCTTAGAACCAGTATTTAGGCAAACGGTATGTAAAAGGATTTTAAAAAAAAGAATTCACAATTCACACTTATTTTTTGGATTCTAAAGTAATAAAAATGCATGACCAAAATGATAACAAATGCAGCCAAATATACAATAAAACACTGTTACTACTACTTCTTACCTCTAATATAATGAAGAATTCATCTCCTGGTTCTCCTTGCACCACAATCTTTTGCCCATCCTCAAATTGTACTGGCTCTAAAGCATCAGCTACTGTGAGACGCTCCCACTTGTCAAGCGATTCTAGACAAAAAGGTCAGCTGTTTAGCATACTTTCTATTATAAAGGCTTAGTATTAGATCACCTGTTAACTTCACAAAGGGATATACTGCTCCAACCAATATGCATATGGCAACCTGATCTTCAAGGATTTCACATTGTGCCATATTTTACAATTTTACAGTTCAGATCACTTCAATTCAGACAAGAGTCTTTAAAGCACTCTGGGTAGCTACAACCAGGCAGTAGGTGTTAGCAATAACACGGAACAATCCCTATTAATTGCAAGACATAGAATCAAAAAATTATCTTGCTCATTGTAAAAAACTACAGAAAATATTCAGAAGCAAACCAGCATGAGTGAAGGGGGAAAAAGGCTTGGTTGAACTCCTCCACCTATATACTTCCCAGGATTTCTGAAAAACTTTCCCTGAAAAAAGGCCAAATTATTTGAGAACAGTTTATTTTGGAGTGAGGGGTTCATATATAATCCTTCGTATCATCTAATCAATACAAACAAGGTAAACTTCTACCTTTAAAAATGCCATATACAGCATTTTATAGAATACTGAAATAATACTAACATGTATTTGCAAGCTGATTAACGGAGAGGGCCAGGGATCCTTACAAGCAAATAAGGCACAACACACATTTTCCATCAATAGTTAGAGCAACAAAGCATTTGGGGGAAAACCCTTAAGACACAGTATTGGAAGAAGCACTAGAGCAGAGCTTTGGCTCAAATTAAGTCCTGCTTGCACAAGTTATTTGAAAGAGAAAAGGGATAAAGAACAGGAACTGGGGGGGGAAAACAGCATAATAGGGAGAAAATTTGGGGCTGAGGAACATGCATGAAAGAGTTGAAGAAAATAAAGGAGAAAAGAAGAATAAAAATTGAGACTGTGGGGAAATGAACTTAAGAGGAAACAGTAACCATGTCCTACATACAAGAATATACCTGTACCTTGTTCTCTTCACCAGATTCAGTTAAGTCACCAATGGTAACTAAGTCGCAGAGGTTTTTGTCATTGTGCCACAATATTTACTTTCTTCTATGTAGTACCAGAAAGGCCAGACTCAGTTGTCTAATACTGACATGTCACTCACCTAGTATTGACACTTTACTAAGAAATTCTTCATACATCTTTCTCTTTCTCAATGTGCTACCCTGAAGGAAAAAACCACATGCACATATGAAAATTATTCCTCTGTTCAGTATTTTCGAAATACACTGAAGAAAATCAAAGCATCCCAAAGGTGGTTAGAATGCCCCAATCCTGTCTTGCTGAGGATGAGCAATAAAGTGTTCGATTCTTCCTTGCTTTTGATTAATTTTAATGTTGCTCTCTCGTTTTGGTTTGAAAGTTGTCCTTGCATAGCCCTTAACAGTGCTTGGCTATGCATTGTTATATTGTTTAATTGTTCATCACCCTGCAAATGCTGATGCAGCAAAAGCAATGTATAAAGCTTCTTACTAAATAAATGATTGAACAGGTCACAGATAAGCGTGCAGAAGGTCACAGCCTTTAAAAAGCACATCTCTGCAGATCTGATACCAGTCCTTTCACCAAGCAGACAGGGTATGTTGCCTGTGAACTCTGATCATGTTCCCCACCCAAATACATATTAGAGAGTCATAATCGCCAGTTGAGTAAGTTTGTTGGTTTAATCACATGGGTCTTTTGTACATCTGCAATCTATGGCCAATCAAAATACACATCCTGTACTGTCTTTTTAAAGGTAAGCTTTCTGCATAACAGAAATGTTTAGTTTCACTGGCAAGGCCCTAAGCATTCCTGTCTGTAGAAACATTTTTTTCCCTTTCAGCCAAAGATAAATCTGCTTATCAGTGTAAGTAGCCACTGAAAACTATTATACCTAGGAAGAACTGAGACACGTAAGCACAGAGAAACCAATACTGAATAAAACAGGGTTCAATCCAAGGTCACACAAGTGGATCTCCCTTCTTTTTTCCCTCCTTCATTCTGCTGCACCAGGTCTTCCAACCCATTGATGACTGGAGGGGGTGGCATGGGGGAAGGTAAATCTGTTCCACCAGTGGTTTCTATTCTGCAAGCAGATGGCAGCCCAGAGGGTCAAAGGGCCTGAAGAAATTTGAACTGTTTGACTACAATTAATGATTTTCTTTCTTCTTCCTTTTTAGACAACTGTTTTCTAAAGCTTGTTCACATTGCCTTCTGTTATTCTTAATTTCAATTTCAATTAGTTTTAAAGGTTTCACTGTGTTAAAAGCAACACAGAACGAAGGGTAGACATAGGCAATCCAATTCATAAAGTAAGTTTTTGTATGTTTCAAATGCAGCCTACTGGGTCAAATAGCAAGAAGATAGACTACTCATAACAGGTCATTTTTGCTGTTTTTTAAACTGTTTTAAACTTTAATTTCTTATTTTATGATAATTTTATTGCATTTTATCGTCTTGTTTTTATGGGTTGCAGTAACTCATAAAACATTTTTGACTATGGGGACACTATAGAAATAAATAATTAGTCCAGGCCACTAGACTTGGGTTCCACCTAAATGTCTTAATTGTTTATAGCCTCTCTTAACCAGTATACATGTAACTATAGCACTATTAACATGTCTGGCCAATATCTCTGGGAAATCCATCAGTCCATAATTTTTGATGTTGATTTTGGCACTTTCATTACAGTAAGTGAAAGTTTTTACTGAGTTGTCAAAATATTTTACTGATTTGTCAGAACGTACAGCTTCACATGTGGAAGCTTTCCCTCTTGCATGAAAGTTAATAAAATATCTAGCTGGGATTTAACAAACTAAAAACATAATAGGTTCCACTTTAAGTATGCAAAAGTAGAAGCTGTGCCTCTTTTTCCATATCTATCATCTATTATACCTATAAACTCTAATTTTAAACTAATTTTATGCTACTTTGAGGTTGTACATTTTAGTATCTAATCTAAAAACTCTAGGTAATGGAAAAATAAGGACTTCAATAGAATATTATACTGTTGCATATGTGTATTTTGTGCAGAAGCCAACATCTATTAGCAGCTAAGAAAAAACTTGCATGAACAATAATTTGCAAATGTAATCTTGCTTTGCCATAAAGAAAACAATACAATGATCGAAGAATTTACATGATTTCCTTGTGATTTTCAGTCATGGCTGAAACTAGTAATCATTTACCCAGCAGTAAATTTTATACATCCAGGACACAGCGCAGGCAAATGTAACAATGAGAGCCATGACTGGGTTTCTATAATTAAAATAAATGGAATTCAACTTTTTAAAAAACTGTGATGAATCTTACTTTCACTCCCCTCCTCCCCCGCATAACTTTGTTAAATGCTTAAGGGCACAATCCCATTCAAGTTTAGACAGAAAAAAGCTCTTGCAACTCCCAGCATTCCCCAGCCAATATAGCTGCTTGGGGCATGCTAACAATTAATTGTTGGTCTTTTTTTTTTTTTGTCTAAACATGTAGAGGACAACACTCCCAAAAGCAACAAATAAAAAAACAGGTGAAATACGTAAGCACATTATTACACAGTAAGAGGAAAGCCATAATATCTCTGAAAGTATTTTCTTTCAAAACGTTAACATACTCACCATAAGGATCCTTCTATAGCTGTCTCTATCAATACCCCATAGTTTCACATTAGTTTTTGCTTTGACAGTGGCTGCTCGAGGTGTTCCATAGATCAGTGCAAGTTCTCCAAAGCTGCCCCCTTCCCCAACACTGGTGGCCCATTCATTGTTTACATATACCTAATGAAGCAATACACACAGCTAAAGACACGCAGAAATTGATGTTTTTGGAAACAGAGCTTGCAAGTCTCACATGCTGATGTTCATATCTATCCTAGACCTGATTAAATGGGGGCAAATATCATTTAACTCAATGGAACTGACTTCTGAGTGGTCATGTATAGGATTAGACCATTAATATGTCTCTTAACTTCTACATTACTTTAATCACTAGAAAATCAATCCATGTATGTTTTAAAGTAAATAAAATACTACAACCAGAAAAGAATTCTGGAAAGCTTTTACCAGTACACAACTTATTTCAGTGTTTCGGTTTAGACTGACCGGAAACTTTTGGTCTGTCAACCAAATATCAGAAGGCTCATTTATGATGCAAGGACAAAAAAATAACTAGGAGTAAGAAGCAAGAACAAGAGTGAGAAATCAGCCCATAATATCCCCCCACCCCTCGAGTCTAGCAGCATGGATTTGTATCTTTTCCCTTTTATTACCTGTCTGTAGTACAAGTACTAAAAGCATAAAAGGGCAATGGATTAATATAGTTTAGGAAAACCCTTACATCCATTTCTCCTTGATCCACAACATAGAAGTTATCCCCTTCATCACCTATAAAAAATAAAAGTAAAGCTTCAGGAAGCTATATAGAAGAGACCCATCCTCAAAATAAACACACCCACAAACATTTGCATTCGCAATAATTTGGAATATCCACACTGTTCTTCAGCTTTATATTCAAAGATATTAATTGAAATTTCCACTGCACCCCTATGTATTACTTAAAAGATCAATTCAATTTCACCACAACTATGCTAATTAGTCTATGTTAAGTGAGGTAATGTAGCAAATAACAGTAAATGATAGTATAATGGAGCACACATACCTAGGCCAAGGTACTAGACAAGGATGTCCCCTTTCCCCAGTATTGTTTGCTTTAGTCATAGAATTACTAGCAAACAGTATTAGGAATAATAAAATAAAAGGTATAATTTCAAGAATTAGATTAAGAATAGCCTATCTGCCAATGATACCATGTTAACAATAAGGAAGCTTTAGATCAGGTCAAATTACATTTGGAAGAATTTGAAGAGATAGTAGGTTTGAGGATAAAATGAGATAAAACAGAGATGAAGTTATTAAATAGTGATAAGGAAGAAAAAGAAAAAATTAGGAGTAAATGTAGCATTAAGATATCAAAAGTTATTTAGGTATTAATATTACTAAAAAGTCAGAATGTTTAAAAATAATGTTGATAAGTTGTGAAATGAAATAAAAGAGAAAATGGATGAATTAACAAAGATTAGATTATCTTGGTTTGGCAGAATAGTGCTATGTAAGATGAAAATATTGCCTAATATTTTTCTTATTTCGGATGTTACCAATTAAGATAACAGACAAAGAATTAAAAGAATGACAAGATATAATTAATAAGTTTTGGAATGGGGATAAAATAGTGAGGATAAATAAAAAAGATGGTATCGATTACAAATGATAGGAGGATTGGGTATCTCTGATATATACTATATAGCAAATCAATTTAGGCACAGACTGGATATCATATTACAACCCTGTAAGGTAATATGGTTAAAATTAGAATTTTATCAACTAGAAGGATCCTTGATAAATCTTTTTTTCAAATATGATAACAAAAAACATTATTAAAAAGGTAGAAAATCATTTCCTTAAAAATACATTACAAATTTGTAATAAGTATAAGGAAAAATTTATGCCATCAATCTCACCAATTACTGAATTAAAAGGGTTTCAGATTTGAGAGAGATTTTAGAGAAAATATTAAAGAACAATCAAATAATTAGTCAACTATTGGCTAGAGAAAATGACTAAAAATGGGGAGATAAAAGCAATGTTAGGAAAGGAAAAATAACTTGGTATAATGTGATTCAGAATGCTGCACTAGAGAGCGGATAAAGAAAAGAGGCAGATGCAGGGATTATACAAAATTTGATGATTGTAGAAAAGGAAAAACAAGAGAATATGTGGATGCAAGGAATAGTACATAAATTTCATAAGATACTGCTAAAAGAACAGGATCAATATGAGAAAGATTTGAGAAGAGCATCAGTTATGAAGATATGCTCTGAGATTGCTTTATTTTCCATTTTTGGTAAGAAACAAGCTGTAATAAGGCATTAATAACAAATTTAATAGATTCTGTAAGATTACAGTTAAGAATGGAAAAGTAAAATATGATTATCAGTTGTGTGATTGGTATAGAGATGTTTGGAACATAGCTATTAATGATAAATTAACTTGTGATATTAAAGTGAGAAATGGACATATAAAGAAAAATAAGTTTAATGAGATTTGGGGTTCATTTATTGTGTATGTGATAAAACAAGGGAAAGGATTTGAACTGTCAAAAGAATCACTAGTTTGGGAAAGGGGAAATGTCTTGAAAGAATGTTTGAATGAGTTTTTATATCTGTAACATGTTTCTTGAGGAACCAGTGATGGGAGGCACAGTATTTTAAAGAATTACTGCAATTGTATATTTTAAATGAGTCTATTTTAATTGTATTTTAGTTGTAATTTAGATGAAAAATTAAAAAAATAAAATTAGTCTATGTAAAGTGCTCTTGAGAGAGCCTTCCACAAAGACTAATGCTGAAAGATATTTTTAACATAGCCACACAAGTGAGTCAAGGAGGACACTGAAGCAGCTACTCAGGAAGGAAATCTAGTTGTTAAACTCTAAACTGGGGATATAGTCTGATGACTTTTAAACAAACTGTATGGATTAGACAAGTAGTAAATAACTGCACACATTCAGGGTTAAGCAGTTTTCGACCAAGTAGCTTACAAACAGGTATCACTTGCCTTGTTGTATTACAGTCTCACCAGCAATATAGGTGACTGGAAACATGGCATCAAATATATCACTGAAAAAGATTTCAGAATTACTCAAAAGATAACCAAATATTAGAGAAAGTAGCATACAGATAATTCAGTATGTAATTATCAGAGATGCTGAATGTCTAGATTTGCTCAGTATGTTGTGGAATGAGGACAAAAACCTAAAATACTCACACAAATATTTGGTTTGCGGAATTAAACTGGCTATGTTTATTTTCTACCTCTTGCCATATTCAGACGGAGTCTATGTAAAGCTGTTGCTGTCAGCAGGGACTATTTGTACCCTAGTCTTCCTTCCGCCAATTCTTAGATACTAATACAAAGTATTATATGCATGTAGAGCCCCATTACATGGCATTTCGCCACCCTCAAGTTCTAAAGGTGCTGATGTGGATCTTCTAAATATTTTCAGTGCAACTAAACGGTCCAGGAAATTGCTGGTGATATCAGTATATAAATATACTTATTTATATTAGAAGTTATATATAGGGTACTACAGCATGCGTCATGGCTAGTTAATGTAATATTTAAAGACATCCCTTCTAGATTGTGTTCAGCATTAAATACACGATCAGAGAATTCAATTCTAAAAAGTTTTCCTACCTTCGTTCATTGTCATCAAGATGAGCAAAAAGCACATTCTTCTCTATGGCTTTTGCCAAGGCAGCCATAGTCTTATAATCTTTTGGAATAACCTGCAGCATGGAAAACAGCCAAACCATTTTGACTAAAGACCTCTGAAGCAGATGCTGTTTAAGCAAATCCACTTTTAAAAACAAGCCAGAATTCTGTTATTATTCCTTTCTCACCCAGTTTTTATTTTATTTTAAATATTTATGTATTACCTTTCTAAGCAAGGATCCCCTCAAGGTGTTTTTCAAAATTAAAAAAGGAGCATATAATTTCATTTGACATGTGCTTCCTTCTTGGCAAGAATTTTTATTAAAGCAATACAAATCAAGAAACAATAATTGTTTTGAGGGAGAAAACATAAGCCAAGAAAGCAGAGACTGTCTGGAATTAGGTTTATTCTTTCTCACTGGGTGATAGATATACCATTTTTTTCCAAATATGGCACTACTGCCAGAAGGCTCAAGATGTGGAAAGCTTTAAGTTTCTGAGAAACTACTTCATAATCTAGGTCAAGTCCATGGATCCACTGTCACCAGAAATGGTTTTTAAAAATACAGAATAAACAATTTTTACAATAACACAGGTACTAAGATTCATAGAACCCACCCAGCAAACCATCTTCTTACACATAACTAATCTTGTGGGCTATATTTTCATCTTACGTTTTACTCTCTACTCTCACTGGTTTTTAAGGATTTTGTAAATTTGCTTATAGGTCTCCTGGAGGTCACCCTCCATAGTGCTTGGCTTGCTGGAACTAGACCCAAGCTGGAAGGATTATAAAGTAGATATCTTAGGAGACCTTATATCATAATCAGGGAAAGATTATTCTGTTTTTTCTAACCCTATTCTTTCTAATGAATTGCTTTTCTTGCCCATCCTTCAATCCATTAATCAGCAAGCCCAACTATGCAAAAAACCAGGTTTCTGTGAGAACTGTCAAGAGTCACCCAAGCTAGGTATGCATTACCACAATGTGCCTATAGAAGTACTTAATGGCACCTTCCTAGGAAATGGCACATATAAACCATGAAGTATAGCTTGCTTGTCTGATCATCAGCTGGATGTAATACCTTTCTAACATAAGAGGCAGCATCCTCTTCTGTGTAAACTTCTGCACTGATTGCACCACGCCTTCTGCGGCCCTTTACCACTGGGTTCATGGGTGGGGGTGGAGAAATCTCATCTTCACGGGAATCCGTACGGGAGCTTGATTTCTGCTGACTCATTAACTGTTTGGTTTCTTCCTGCAAGAGAAGAAAACAGCTGTATGTTAATAACCCATGGAAAAACATCTCCCACTCTTGCAGCTATGCTAGTTAAATAGTTGTCATCAAGTTGAGGTGCATTTTGAAATTTTGTATTATGCCTTCCATACTAGTACTGCCCCTTTCATAATGCCTGTGAAAAGAAGCACGCCACTTTTAAGTTTTAAGAGAACCAAGAACAAATTTTTAAGAGAACAAATGCACAACATTTGTGGAAAACTGTGAAAGTATCTGTTTATAAGTATGATTATGTAAAGACACATTACAGAATGGCTATTGAAAAATAAGTACATTAAATACTACCTTTTACTAGGACAAGAATTCAAATCAAAGTATTTAAGTTTTTTTTTTTGTTTTTCCTCTTTTAAATTAATTAAACTTGCATAAGGAAAGGAGTCCCTGAGGATTTTACTCCACTAGCCAAAATGGCTATCGGGGGGCGGCACTCATCTCCATTCCAAAGGCCGTGAGCCAGCACTGTCTGAAGACATGCCAGTGGTCATGTGATCAGTATGATGTCATGGGGCACTGTTTCCTCCCCACCAAAGTGGTACCAATTACCTACTCTCATTACATGCTTTTGAATTGCTAGGTTGGCAAGAGCTGGGGACAAGGCAGCAAAAGCCCACCCTGTCAAGCGGCTTCGAACTTCCAACCTTTTGCTTGACAGCTCAGTGGTTTAACCACCGCGTTCCTTTAAACTTACATAAACAATACAATTAATATATCATAATAACCAACATAAACATTACTAAAACAATAATTAAACAATTACTAGTTAACCATTACTAATAAACATAATTAAACAATACAATAACATCAGTGCTCCCTCCAGCAGACCAATAAATCATGACTTTTAATGCAAGACCATTTATTCATTCAGGTTGGCCTGCTCCCACTTCCTTTCCAGAACTGTAGTGACTCTTGTGATGGTTCACACTCCTTTCCTTTTATTAAGACATATTCAATAAACAGTCTCCAAATATTTTCAAAATTATTTTTGCTGTCAAACATTTTTTCCTTTTAATATCACAAGTTAACTTATCATTAATAGCTATATCCCAGACTTCTTTATACCATTCAACTATTTGATAATCACCTTTTATTTTCCAATTCCTTGCTATTATTAATCTTACTGATGTTAATAAATTTGTCATAAATTATTTAGTATTTTGTCCCATTTGTTCTCTAAATAATGACAATAATGCTAGCCCAAGATCTGCATCAATATTGAAATTCAGTATTTTACTAATTTTTTGAAAATCACTTCCCAAAACAAATTTAGATATTTACACTCCCACCACATATGGAAATATGTACTCACTCCCACATACACTGGAATATTCATTATTCATATAATTCAATTTAACCTGAGTTAAGTACCAGAGTTAAGTATTTCCAAACTAATTTATAAAGATTCTCTTTAATTCTTATTGACACAAATTTTAAAATTCCTTTTATCCCACATATTATTTCATTCTTCAGTACCAATATTTATTTTTAAATCTATTTCCCAAGACTCTTTAAGAGGATCATAATGATCTTCCCCTTCGAGTAATATGTTGTGAATTTTACTTGTCCTTCCTCTCATCCACATATTATCTTAGTTTTCTTTCTGTAAAATTCTGTTTTAAAATTTAGTATATTCTCTACATTTACCATTTTCTTCAACCAATCTTTAGTACAGTAATCTAATTGAAGTAGATTATACAAAGTTACTTTACCCTGTCCCAGTATTGCTTGTATCATTTCTTTACTCTTCATTTTCTCTAACCAATCTTTCAACCTTATAACTCTTGTTTACTCTTCTGTACTTCCCCCTCAAACTGCTTACTCAGATTCTCTGGGAATCGTTCTAATTCTGTAATTGGATATAATGGTGAAATCGATGTGATAAATATGTCCCTATATAGTATTTAAGTTTGCTGAATTACAAAAAAATCTTCCTCATGTCAGACTTTGAAGAAAAGGCATTTTAAAAAGAAAAAGCCATACATGCACACATCTGAACAAGGGCATCTACTTAAACCACAATTATGCTTATTTATAGATGGCTTTCATTTTAAAATGGATGTAATTTTGCAGAACTGGAAAGGTTAGTGACTTGGCTTGCGCTTAAGCATTACTATTCGGAGGCTTGGATAAAGGGGCAAAAGTGATGAAAAGCTTCTTTTAAACACTAAGTACCAGCAGTGTTTAAATAACTATGGGTTTCAGATTTCAAAGTACCACTGAGTTCTACTGACACTGTGTGCTTCCCACCACCCTCAAAGCTCAAGAAGGCAACCTCATTATATAAGAACTATGGCCCAACCATCCTCCAAGTTGCTCAGAGTGCTCTCACTGATCTCCTAATAAGTCTAAGATAGACCAAATTGCAAGTCTGACCCATGGAAGGCCAGTCTCATGCCCAAGAGCTACTACACAAGTACAGGTCTGTCACAAGGTCTGCACATGACAACCCTGATAGACAGATATGCCAGACTAAGTTCTTCAAATGCATTTCTTATCCAAAATTTAAATTTTTAAACTGTACATCCAAGAAATCATGTTATGCAAAACAGTACCAGGCAAGTATACCAGTCACTGAAGACCAAATGCAACATTATCTACTATATCAGATTTTTTTTTCTATTTATCTACAATGAAAATTATTCTAAGGGTACAGGCCACTAACCCATTGGAGTGGATAAATAGTGCTAAGATTAATGCTTTCTATGATCCTAATCTTAGTACTAATCTTAGCATTACCTATCTGGCAACCTTTTAATTGTGTATTTTCAAACTTATAAGTATATACACACTGATAATGTTTATACATTGTGGTGGTTCTGTTAACGACTTGTGAAAATGATTTGTGTTCATCAGATGTAGAAAAAGAAATCCAATATTTTAAGCATTTGGGGTTATTAGAGGTTTAATTTACTTCCTTATAAACTAGGCAAGTCATTCAAATGAACAAAAGTTATTAAAATTAAAACTATTGACTAAATTTAGGAAAAAATAACTGAGAAGATCACTGAATATGGGTATTGTAGCTAAGTGTGGCAGGGTATGAGTTTTTTAAAATACAACATTCATATTTGCCATACTTTTAATTAGCCTATCACTGAAACTAAAGTGAGATATTGGTCTGTCTACAGATAATTTACAGTCATGCTGTGATGACTTCACCTATTAAAGTAGCTATGTAAAGCAACCAATCATATTACACCCAAGCACAGATACCTATTGGAGTAGTAGGTCATTTCTGTATCTTCTCAGTATCTACATTGTATGATAGGTAATAAAGCATCAAGGAGAGTACCCAAAGAGAAAACAAAAAAACTTGCAGTGGATCAGACAAGTTACATTGGCTAAAGTCATATCACAACTTCAGGATGAATAACTGTCTGAAACATAGGTCTAGAACAGGAGAGAGAACCAACCATGGACAAGCAGGTTGGATTACCACTCCCCACCAGCCCTCCATGAATTATAATAGGACATGACCATGGTCCCTAACATTTAGATCCTGGCAGATGCATCAAAAGGACGACAGTCCCATTATTTCTACCAGAAACTATTTCTGATGCATATAGGCCTTGTTTCTTTAAGAAGAAACTCACAGCTAAGCCACTTCACCCACACTGTATCTTGTCCCAATGGGAAAAAGACAGAAAGCAGGCAAAGTTACTTGAATGAGTCAGTGGCTAGAGGAGTGCTTAGCTCCACCCAACAGCTTTGTATCAGAAGGATCATCTGCACAACAGCTGGGAAAGGCACCACATGGATGAATCCCCCACTCACATCCTGCTCTTACTGCCAAATCTATTACTGGTGGTAACAGCATGGATTTTCTGATCAGTGCTTAAGCACAGGGGAATCCATGCTGTTATCTCTGAATGGGTCAGACAGCATCCAAGTGCTAGACATTGCCCTCTCCTGGTCTAAAGGTAGCAATGCAGTCTATCACAGTTCATTCTCAAAGTCTTTAAAAAAAAACTTGCTCAAAATAGCTTATAGCACTGAATCTCTGGGTCAGGACTTCAAAGACCAATTATAAGTTAGTGGAAAGGTTGATTAAAATATTGCTTGTACATTCTTTTCAAACAGTAGAGTAACACCAAATTGAACAAGAATAGCTGCACATTCAGATATGGTTTGCAACACATTTCAAGGAAAGTGATTTTATTCTAATACATTAAACAAAGATGATAATAACCGCCAACAGAGTTTTTCCTTGAAATACACTGGAACTATATCTATTTGTACAGCCTTTTTATTTTTGGTTCTTGGATTTTTCTATGGCTGCTATTGACTTTTTTAGTCATCTCATTTCCAACCAACTCCAGACAATAGCTAATAACAGACCTGCTCCAACTGCATATGAGAAACTGAATTTTAATTGGCTAGAAAAGATACACTGACTTGTTGAAGCAGTTAATGCATCCATCTTCTCTTCAGGCTATATAATAAAGCATGCATAAGAAATACATTCTTATACCTGTTGAGGAAACTCCCTTATGCTTTCTACATATTAGCACCTCATAAATAGGTGATGAGGCAATAATGACCTTTAAAATCTTGTCAAGAGCCTGCAGACCTATTAAGTTCAGCATAACATCTTTTTTAGAAGTTACCCTGCATACAAAACTAGGAATGATAAGCTTGCTAATTAGAAAACAGTATGTCCTAAAAAACTGCAAACAAGGGAGCAGACAACACTGGATTTAGGTTTGTAACATTTCTGAATTTCTAATCCAATTATTGCTGAAACTGAGTTTGGGGAAAGGGAAATACTGGTACTATTTCAAACATTTGTAAATAGCAGAATATATTTACTGATATCCAGCACAGGAATATGTTTGAAGCTTCTAAATGCTTCTGTTATGCATCCTACATGCAAAATTAAAAACCTAAAAACTTGTTAGCATTTACTAACTGCTGAATGTAGAGTCCAATATACAGAATTGATGCAATTTGCTAGATAAATTCTTATGTGTTACTGGCCTCCTAAAATAATACAGACAAGTCATCAATTTTAGCCCTGGTTTTGGGACAGAAAGTGCCTTGGCCACAGTGTGAAATGACCTGTGCCAGAAGAGGGATCGGTGCTAGTGCAACACCACTGGGTGTTTCCTTGGGCCTGAATTGGCTTTTAATCCTATTTATCACAGTATTCTTCTGGATAGGTTGCCTGGGTTGGGATGTGAGGGAGCTGTATCACAGAGGTTCTGCTACTACTTGCATGCCCAATTCTTGGAAGCAGTGCTGGGTGATTTTTGCTCTGCAGCACAGCACTATGCTGCAGGGATCCCCAGGGCTCTAGCTTATGAAACATGCTTTTCAACATCTGCATAAAATCAATGGGAAGCATTCTCCAGGGAGAATGCAGCATTAACATTCATTTTATCAGATACAGAGAGAACAGGCATGATATTAGCTCTTTTCTGAAATTGGATGATTGGAAATGACATGAATAAAAGAATCAACAGCAGCCACAGAAAATTCTTCTCCTTTTCATCTAATACAGGTGAGGCAGTTGAAGTTCTGAAACAGAGTTTAGGCAGTGTAACTGAGAGATAAGGTAGATGACAGCCAATAAATTGAGACTGAAGCCAGACAAGACAATATTGTTTGTGGGTGGTTCATCTGCCACACATACATTACAGACATACATTCGCTTGAAAATGTTTGAATTATCGTTAATAAGCTACTTTTCATTTCCTGAATCTTCTAGCATAGAATAGTGTAAGTCAAGGTTAATTTATCCATAGGCTCCTCAAAACTCACTCATCAGAGGCAAGGAACCTTGCACAGTTCCACATGGGACACCTAGCTATATTATGCACCTGAGATTTGGGATGGACAGAAGCAAAGTAATGTGATTGCAGTTTTTGCCTGCTCCAGTACCCAGGACAATTCACAAGACTGGCTTCCCCCAAGTTCTCATGCATTTAAGGCAAGTTAAATTTGTGAGCCCCTTCAATTGTATACTTGTATTTTGTGCATTATTAAAGGAATAAGGAAGATAATGTTCTTATTACACAGGGATGTTTTTGCCAATATTTCCACACTATTCAATCTTATCAGATGCAACAGAATTTAGTAAGACATGCAAAACTGTCAATATTACAATTTTTTTAAGTCTGTTAGATCATGAGGCACTCAAAGGTGGATACAAATATTTCATATAATTTTATGCTGTAAGATAAGGCAGCAAAGACAGACTTCTAAAAGCTTAAAGGCAGTGTTTTAATTTTTAGTCTATTTTATTATTTGGAGATTTTGTTTTGCCTCTATTATTCCTTTATTCAAAATGCTTGTAAAAGCAATCCAGAACAAGTTTTCACTTTATTTAAACAGGTAATGTAAAGTTGAATGCATCTTGTAGTAAGGTTCTATCTGAATGTTATTAGAGTTCTGGCCCAACTACTTAAAAGAGGAGTATCTAATCAATTGAAGAACTATTTGTGATCATACTGGTTAGAAGCTAAATCAACTAAGTTTACACAACATTACCAATCTTGTAATTTTAAATTGCTGAGAGCTGACAAACAAGGTAGCTGTGGTAGAAGTGTGGGATATAAGCTTTCTTAAATAAAAATTTAAAAATGCACTTAGAGCTCTGTGAATCACTTTTCAGTTAAATAAAAACTACCACCACACATTATTCAAAGACCAGACCATATTTTATCATTTTCACTCAATTCAATGAAAACAGACTAAAATAAATATGCATATCCTTCACTTCTTTTACTCAAATAGACATCCATTAGTCAACTAAAACTTCAGCTGAGTAATTTACCAATTCAACCTTTTACACATACAACACTAGACTAAAATGGAGAACTGTCCATAACAACAGTGGGTTGGAACCAGAGAATGAAGCATTTTTTTGTGCTGCTGCTGCCGCCGTGGCCACCATATTCTTCAGGTTGAGGAATCCTCTGCAACAGTGTGGGATAGGACACAAGGAATTACAATGTGACAGGGGATTTGCCAGAATCTGAGGATACTGCCTTGCATGAGCGGAAGGTCCTTTCTGCTGGCACAAGACACCTTTGGATCCAAGCCAGGAACTTAAATGTGCGCACAATCACTGGACTGCTTTTAGAAAACTGCACAGCTCGACATTTGGATCAAGCCAAAATGCAAAGCCAGATAGATCACAAGAGTCTTCCTGATCATAGTAGTTGTGCACTCATATGTACATCCTTAAAGGCTGAACTGAAAGTGCAAGCACATAAATGACAAAACTGAGCATCTGAACAGAATTCTTCTACACAAGACAGTGTTCTATGGGAGAAAAAATAATCTAACAAATAGCAGTAAGTATAGCAATCACTAAATATTGCTCTTATGTTTTGCCTTTAAGTTGTCAGCTGCCATGCAATGAATGCTAGTGACCTTCTCTCCTTCCACAAAATGTTGACACAGTGATGGGAGAAGCTGTTAGTGACAGAGCAGTCAAAGAACAAGAGGAAAAAATATTTTTGATCTTGCTGCACAGCCACATAGATCAATTGGGTCACCGCATCAGGCATTTTAAAAGAAAAAGCAACTAGTATGTTAGCAACCCAAAAATGATTTGAGATCATCCTTCTATAAGGTACCCCAAAAGCAAAAATACTTGTAATGAATACATAGCATTCTGTGTAAACAAGATCACCATATTTGAATTGCAAAACTTCATAAAAGTGTCTAATTATTGGCAATTAATACACATTTTACTTTTCTTGATAGTGTATCAATGCCTTACAGATTGCTTCAATCTATTGCTCATATAGTTTTGAGAATTATATTATGGCAGCACCTGCTTTCATGCAATTAAGAATCCTCAATACAAAGAATCAAGCAGGTTTGAACCCAATTAGATACTCTTGAAACATAACTAAAACAAATACAGGTGCTAGATTTCTCTACACACAATACTACCTCAACCCAAATAGCAACCATTCTGTCCTTACATGATTACATGAAATCCCCCAAGAGTACTGTTAATTTTTGTACTCCTCAATTTCCCTCAAAATGAAAATGAAATAGGGGTCCAGGGTTGTGCCCTCACAGGTGGAACAGGAACTGCTCCAGACAGGTGGAGGAGATCAGAAGAGAATATGCCAGGAGATGTAAGGAAAGGAGGGCACAGGGAACCTCCAGTTCACTGGTAGAAGCCCATTTATGTAATACTGAATTTAACCCTGCTTTTCTTTAAAATGCATCCTCCTTAAATTGGCAAAAAGTTTATTTCTTATTAAGTATGTGAACTGAAAGGAGAAAGTAACGTAAGAAGCTTTCTTGTACTGAGTCAGACCACAGTACCATCTAGACCAGTGTTTTCAACACTGACAGGATGCATTGGCTCCAATTTTTCAGGTAGGACTATAGCCAGCCCTACCTAGAGAGACTGCATACATAAGCATGAAATCCCCCGAGCCACTGCCCTTCCCCATGTTTTAAGGCTACAGAACAGATACTCAAGCTAGATTGTAACTACCTCTCCATTCATTAAACCATTTTTACTAAGTGCATAATTAGAATTCCTGCAATGTTACAGCAATATTGCTATATTGCCTTTATAAAAAGTTGGACACTAGAATTTCTAATTTATGAACAAGAAAAAAGATATAATTATTTTATTTATTTATTTATTAAAACATTTCTATGCTGCCCCTTGCCTATGCCTAAACCAAATCACATCAAAAAGTTCATTAAACATTTCTATGTCATGAGCCAGCCTGATCCCATACAATCACCTTCCATTATTTTAATGGAAATATTCATTAAACCTATTATTTTCTTTCTGAAAGTAAGATTTTTAGAACAAAAGTACTGCTTTCATTTATGCCTGAGCCTTTTTATACCCAGTTCAGAAACTACTGATTCAAAAACTTTGCCCAGTTTTATGGGTGTTTGTGAAAACTATTGAGTTAAAATATATTATAACCTCTTAAAGATAAATGAAGGTAAAATTTGCCCACACATGTGTATCTTACAAACTGAAACAACTTGTCTATGTACTTTCCCTGAAGCTTATTCCACTATTAATTTTTGAATCACCACTTAGAAAAACTAAACAATAAGGTTTTCATAACAAGCAAATTGCAAATACACTCAAAATGCACTTTGACATTTTCATTTTCGAGCAGCTAAGATGTTGACATATTGCAGGCCAAAATCAGCATTCATTCTGAGTTATTTTGAGGCATACTACAAATGGTTCTGCTATGCCCCCCCATTCCCAAAGGCTTATTTTTACCTTCTCCAGTCTTTCAAAGTATTCCCGAAGGAACCCCATGGGTCTCTCAGGTCGCACTGTGCATAACTGGACAATGCAATCCTTCAGGAGTTGCTGGATGTTGTGTTTTTGGACATAGTGTTCACATTCACGGAGGCTACGCTCCTCTTCACTGGCGGTACTGCTGCTAGAGGCTGCCATGGCTGGTATCTGAAAGAAAAGCATATTTTAAACCTCTCCAAGAAAGGTGTTCTGCTGCCTTGCTTGCACTGTTTTGCAATAATGTTCTTCAACAAACTCAGCAACTAGACATTAATATTTGTAGGCGCAGCCAATCAGCAGCAGTAGAAATATTATATGCTTCCAAACTGAAGCAGTGCTCACTTCCTTTGCCTGTACTCTGAACCAACACTACTTGAGAAAATCATAGCAGCAGAAACAAACAAAAACTTGTTTGTCTTAGGAATCTCACAAGTTCAGTCATATATTAGAGTAACCTATTGTAAAAATAAAAGATTTTTACTATAGCAATATTTATTAAATTTCATACCATCCAATAGCTGAAGCTCTCTGCAAGTAACACCAGTTTGAAGCCACAAATTTATTGAAAATAAAATAAATTGATAATTAAAAATATTTAGTAAAATAGGCTTTAAACAAATAAGAGCATCTTCCACTTGTTGAACACTTACTTGAGTTGTAGCTAACAGCAACAAATACAGGTATGCACAGAATTTACAGGAGAGGGTGCTGATCCCAGTATCACCTTTCAAGAAGGAAGTAAGTAGTAAGAAAATGAATAACTCAAACTCCCAAATGTTACTGTCCTATTAATACACTGCACATATGGCAATATACTTGTGATAAACATATGCCTCTGATTTCTCTTGCTGAGAATTATGCAGCCTAAAGATAATGCTGAATTGTTTCAACTCCAAACACATTGCATTCTTGTCATCTATAATCCCTGCAACAAGTCTAAAGGTTAAAGAACACATATTTATGTTTATATAGTACACATGTGTAGATGCAGCATTCATATCACATAGCCTTGAAGTTCTATAGCTACCCCTTTGTTTGGACAACTTGCATAACGAAGGTCAGTAATAAATGCTTTAATTAACTGTCCAAGAGTAAATCCATGGCCCCATGACAGCCTGCAAATTAGTCTGTGGAAAAAGCATTCACACTGCTGACAGACAGCATCAGACACCAGCACTCAAACGCAACTGTAAAAACACACAAAAAAACCCCCCAAGAAACTTCTGAAATGAATAAGTTCTCTAAAAACATGCTACTTAGTGGAATAAAAGTTTATAGAGCTTCAAGGAGAACTCCTGTTAAAAATGGCCAAAACATTTTGCTTCTATATACCCTAAACAATTGGAAATTGACAAATATGAAAGAATTTTTGGTTTTTATAAGTATTTCCAATGTGAACACATATTTTTTACATGGATTCTAAGGACTCTTAGAAGTTTCAGGATCATTTCAGAAATCTGGGAGGTTTTTGCCTTTCTAACAGAGAAAACAGAAGTAGTACCTAAAATTCCTCGTAGAATTCTGTTGCAATCTCGTTTAAGTTAAGCGCTGAACAATGAGCAATTGTATGGGAAGGTGGGGAAAATGTTGAAGCTGGTGATGGGTGAAAGGGGTCCTACCTTTTTGTTGATCTATCAAATGTAACAAATGTTGCATAGCTGAGGAACAGCCTATCACAGAAAGGCATTTGTAACATAACAGCCTTGGATCACTTACCCTAATCTTCTTTCAAGATATCTGCATGTGGCTTCCATAAAGAGAAACAACAGGGAAGCCCTTAAGATGCTTCCTTCCGGCCAGAAGGTAGTGCAATTCATTTGGCACTAATTGATACAGCATAAGAAAACTGAGAAACTCAACAGCTCAGCAGCTACAGGCTGCTTCAAAGGTAGCACTATTTTTACTATAAAGAAAAAATGCCACTCCAGCCAAGGATTATTCACTACCACAGGGTATGAAATGATACAGGTTCCTTCTAGCCCTTCCCTCATTGATAATATAACGCATCCTGGTGGGACCATGAAATTGCCAAATAATAAATGTTTTTAAGATGAGAAATAGTTCGAAGAGTACTCCTGCTTCAAACATTTTTGAACAGTCATGCCTCCACAATTATGAATACAGATCCAATACATCTCTCATTCACATACTCACACAAAAAGGCTTTTATTAAGTAGTTACATTTCCAATGGTTGTCAACTATAGTTCTCCCCAAGATATAAATCTATTTTTTCTAACAGAGTATTTCTTCCTACAACCCTGCAGGCCTCCCTTGCCTCGATCATTAGAAACACAGAATATGTTTTTCCAAGCTATGTTTCAGTCGTTTCTGCTTCCAGGAATAAATAAAGGCCTCAACACCATTAAAGCAAACAGCTTTGTCATAAGGTCCTCCCGCTCTCTCTTTGCCTATCCGGCATCATTCTGCACGCACTCCCCAGCAACTCTGGCGTTAGCACTGTCACATGCTTTGACACCCCAAAAGTCTGCCCCTATTGCAACCTAAGATTTGCTGTCCCCCGCCCCCCTTCACCCTCCTTGAAGAAAACTGCCCCCATCAAACGTTCTGCCTTCCCTCTTGGCGCTGCGCTTTTAGTATATTATAGTCATAACGCGCCCAGCAAGAGTCCTCCCTTTTAAACATAAGCCTCCCTCCTTCAGCATCGCGCCCACTAAAGCTGCGCTCGTCACCTTGTTTTTTCTCCTAGGCACCTCAGGTACCCGTTTCCAGCCTGGCTGGGCCCCCTCTCAAGGATTTCCATCCATAGCTCGACAGAAAATTCCCTTCTTTCGCTTCGCCCCAGCCTCACCTGAGGTGGAGGCCTCTGCTGCTGTTGCTGCTGCTACCGCCACCGCCACCGCCGCCTCCTCCTCCTCCTCCCGCGGCGCGCCAGGCTCCTCAGCTTAGCGCGCCGCCCTTCCTCCCGCCACTCGCGCAAGGCTCCGCTGGGGCTCCCCTCCGGCTTGAGGCCCAACCGAGACTTACCGCAGGGTCCGAGCGACGACTCCCTGCCTGGGCCTCTCCTCGGGCCCCCTTCTCCACCCCCTGTCCCGACTTGGGGCCTCCTCCTCCTCCGCCTCAGCAGTCGCCCCCACCGGAAACCCAGCGCCCTCCGCCAATCGCCGCCCGGCCTGACGTCAATGAGCCTCGCTCTCACTTGCTGAACCGTCACCGTGGCAACCTTAAAGGAGACGCGCTACGTTTTGTCTACGTCTCACTCCCCGCCCCGCCCAAGGGGAGACGAAAAATAACCTCCACATACAAATGCGGCCTTTCCCTTTAAAGCATCCGCTGACGCCAGACCGCTTGGTGAAACGGAGCTGCCGACGTCCCCCCAGTCCCTTCCGCCCTTGCCGTGCACAAAACCCGCGAGGGCGGGGCGTCCTAGGCGAGATCGTGAAATACGGATTTAGAAGCGCGGATCCGCAGAATGTCGGTCCTACTACTCTACCAGCCATCGCCGTTATTTTGTTGCCAGAAGCAGGGCGAGCCTTGTGATGCCTGGGAGGTTTTGGAGACCAACCGTGCAATCCAATGCATGTCTACTCAGAAATAAGTCTCTTGTTTCCAGTAGGGCTTACTCTCGGATAAGTGCCTGCGATTGCCTTTCGAGGCTGGCATCCCATACTTTTCCGGGAGGAAGATCGTTTTAATTCAGCGGGGCTTTAAAGTAGACATGGATAGGATTGTGCTGTAAAGCTATAGTGCTAGACACATTCACTACCTGGAAGTAAATTCCAGTAAACTCAGTGGGCTTACTTCTGAGTAGACTAATCTACGATCTCACTTTGGTGGCAAAAGCTTTCCCTGGAGCACAGTACACGTCAAGCGCGTGATGTGTGGGCTTATACGGAGCTAGAAGGCATAGTTATTAACTGCTCCGTGTTTCATATATCCTGTGCTCAGAAATAACATACCTGCTCTAATTATACCACCTCCTGGTTCCTTGCCACAGTAACAAGTACTGAACTGATGGAAGAAGTGGCCAGATGTACTTTTTCACCCTGTTTTTACACCTTAATTTTTAAGTGACTATTGATCAGGGGAGGGAACATGTGATGCTGCATCAGACAGAAAAAGTAACATTACCGCTCTTTCTTTTGTCTTCTCTTTCCGCCATCCATTGGATGAAATGCTTAAAAAAGTAAGGGGGAAAAGAGCCAACAGCAGCTAAGTAATTAAGCCCCACCTCTGAACAGAAGCTGATTGTTTAAATGGCCAATTCAGGAATGCCAGGAAGCAACTAACTAGCCAAGAAGTACTATTTAAAGAATGGGGCAAAGAGGCAACAGTGAATTACAAGGCTAGGAAGAGGAAGACTTGTTCTAGAGCTGGGGGAATTGGTGCCAATTAAAACTTTTAAAAACCAGTGAAAATTGGTGGTTAGGAATGCCTTCTTTCAGTTGTGGCAAATATACCAACTATGCCCCTACCGGGATAGATAGAGCTGGGCACAGTCACTCCAGCACTGGTAACATCCAGGTTAGATTACTGTAATGCACTCTACATGGGGCTTCCTTATGGTCCAGAGACTTCAAGTGGTTCAGGACTGCACGATTAGCATCTGGTGCCACCTCACTGGCCCATATTACAGCAATTCTGTACAAACTACACTGGCTAACAGTTGAAGCCTGGGCCCAATTTAAAGTGCTTGTTGTAACATATAAGGCCCTTAACAACTTAGGACCTTGTTACCTGAAAAACCCATATGTATCTTCCCAACTCATAAGATCTGGGTGGGAGGCCCTTCTAAAAGAGCCATCTCTCAAGGAAGTGTGTGCACCCCATCTTTGGAATGGAATAGACTCCCCAGAGAAGTTTGCCTGGTGCCAGGTGAAAACATTCCTTCACCTATTTTAATAACTGATTGCAGATGTTTATTAATTTTAGTGGGATTTTAGTATAGTAGTATGATTGCCTGTCTCACCTTGACATGTTTTTAGAATGATCCCTGTTAAACTATTATTACTATTGTTATTTATAGTGTAATTATGTTTTTTAATGTTTTATTGTGTAATTGTGAATATTGCTTGTTGTACACCACCTAGAGAGCTTTTTGGGGCTAGTTGAAGCTTAGAAATAAATAAACTCAATAGATACGCCATCTGGATTCATCATAAAATTGAGTTGTGTCCATTCTGGAGAAAATAACTTATATGGAAAAAACTAGAGTTTACTCTGTATATTTATTTATTTATTTATTTATTTAAAGTTTTTCTATACCATCCGACTACAGCACTCATATAGTCTTAAAATATTAAGATTGAAATAAAAAGCATGGTTGATGATATAATGAGTGAAAATTATTGTGGAGGGCCATCCTATGAACTTAAGGTCTAAAGTGTCGGGGGGGCGGGGGATTGGCAGCAAACCTAAACAAGCATAGGAGAAAGCAGTAAATCTGCAATCCTATACATACCTGGGAGTAAATCCTATTGAACTTGATATAACTTAGCATTTGGTGCATGTGAAATTAAACAACTTAAAAAAAAGCTGTTCAAATGCACATAACTTTTGGTAATTTTAGAAGCAGGATTATGCTCATATATAGAGAACTGTTTCTCTCTTTAGGTTATGTTATACTACTCGTGAAGTTGTGTCCGACCCGTCACGACCCCACGGACAACATTCCTCCAGGCCATCCTGACCTCCACCATCTCCCGGAGTGCACCTAAGCTCACACCAACTGCTTCAGTGACTCCATCCAGCCACCTCATTCTCTGCCGACCCCTTCTTCTTTTGCCATCTATTGTTCCCAGCATTAGACTCTTCCCCAGGGAGTCCTTCCTTCTCATTAGGTGGCCAAAGTAGTTGAGTTTCATCTTCAGTATCTGGCCTTCTAAAGAGCAGTCAGGGTTGATCTCCTCTAGGACTGAATGGTCTGATTGCCTTGCAGTCCAAGGAACTCGCAGGAGTCTCCTCCAGCACCACAGTTCAAAAGCCTCAATTCTTCGGCACTCAGCCTTCCTTATGGTCCAACTTTCACAGCCCTACATTGCAACTGGGGAAACCATAGCCTTGACTATACGCACTTTTGTCAGCAGGGTGATGTCTCTGCTTTTTACTGTCAAATACTCTGGCCATCTAATGAGAAGGAAGGACTCCCTGGAGAGGAGCCTAATGCTGGGAACAATAGATGGCAAAAGAAGAAGGGGACGGCAGAGGATGAGGTGGCTGGACGGAGTCACTGAAGCAGTCGGTGTGAGCTTCAGTGGACTCTGGGGGATGGTGGAGGACAGGAAGGCCTGGAGGAATGTTGTCCGTGGGGTCACGATGGATCACTTTGCTACTAACAACAACAAATTTCCAAGCTCCTCTAAGAGTCCTCTGGGTCAGTGAGATTTTTTAAAACAACACTTAAAACAACTATGCAGTGGACACAGTAGAGCTCCCCCTGAAATTTTGTAATGGGAGGGCGACTGAGCAGTAATTCTTAGTACCATATTATGAGTGCTGGAAAGTTATCCATTTTCATTTGTAAAATACTAACTGATTCAGCAGAGGAAGGAAGATGAGACCTACTCTTGTGGTTTTACTATGCATGACTAGTCACATTGAGGAAATAGATATGAATGTCATTGCCTCTCCCGTGCAAAATGCACTACCTGATATTTGTAATTGACATTTAACAATTCTTTTCTCGTTTATGGTGCCATCCTGTGTACATTGAGACAGAAAAGGCCTACCTCTCCCAGCATCCTTCAGCATAGGAATGCACCCTTAAACTCCTTTTGAAAACACCAAAGGATATGCATGGAATAGAACATACAATGCCTGAAAACTTTTAATATTGAATAATCACTATATTTTTATCAATGCATGCAACACATAAGTTAGATTTCATCCTGAATTCAAATGGTGACATATAGAACTCAGTGTGGATTGGCTTTCTGAACCATAAAACACAATTTTGTTAGCACTGTGTTAAAGAAAAGATTTAAAAGAATGTATTTTTCGAGAACATATTACGCCTGTCCCCTTCCAGCTGCATTGACAGCCAGTTGAAGTCTGGGCCTGATTCAGAGTGCTAGTATTAACATTCAAATCCCTAAATGGTTTGTGGCCAGGTTATCTCAAGGAAAGCCTCATCTTACATGTATGTACAGTGGTACCTTGGCTCACGAACGCCTCAGTTTACGACCAGATTGGGTCACAAACAAAAATTTCATAAAAAATTTGACACAAGTCGCCATCCCTGCATTGGGTGGCAACCACAATCATGGCCCTCTCCCCACCCCCCAAGTGGGGAGAGGGCCATGATCACGGGTTCGCTCATGCAGGGAAGATGGGCGCGATCATGGTTGTGCTGGGGGGGGGGGGGGGGGGGAGATGGCATAGATCACGCCTGTCTTTCCTGCACGAGCACAACCACAATCTCGGCCATCTCCCCACTCCAGCACAATCACCCCCATCTCCCCCATCCCTGGGCATGCAGGGATGATGGGCGCAATCGCAGTTGTGCTGGGGCAGGGGGAGATGACCATGCTCATGCTCGGGGTGCAGGGGAGATGGCCGTGATTTTTGTTGTTTTTGTCACTTTGCTTCAAATGTTTCTGATTAAAAAAAAATAGTCACAGAATGGATTAACCTTATTTACATTGAACCTCATGGGGAAATTTGGGTCATGACCAGAGTCCTGAAACAGATCGTGAGCCAAGGTACCACTGTATCTGGACACTGAGGTCATCTTTGGGAGTCCTTCTCTGGGAGCCCCCTCTAGTGGCTTCCAAGAGAAGGGCCTTTTTGGTTTTGGCACCCTAGCTATGAGCTCTCTAATGAGCCTGGTGCCTACTCTGTATTCTGTTGGTGACAGGAAAACCCTTTTATTTTCCCAATACTTTGACAGTTAACAGTTAACTTTTTAACTTCAGTTTTAATACTGCATTTTTGCTCATACTGCTACTATACCTCTTTGCTGATTCAGTTGCAATTGCTATTGTGGTTTTATTGTGTTCAGTCTTGTTTGTTTTATTTATTATTTATTTAGAACATTTCTATGCTGCCCCCATCGCAACAAAGCCTCGGGGCGGCTCACAAAGAATACATAAAAACATACATAAATAATAATACTATAACAATTAAAAAAACATTAAAAAAACCCCCGATGCATTCTC